GAAAAAAGGGGATCCTAGATATTTTTCGCACGCCTTTATAGGCCGGCTTTCGTGTGTGCGTGTATTTTGAGCCCTGTTATTTATTTTAATATGCCTTAGAATAAATGACAAAATAAGAAATGTGTTTGATGACAGCTTTAGACATTTATGCCCATTTATGCTAAACTGTTTGATTTCAATTTTAGCAAGGAAGACTCTGGCAAATCTCCTTTTTTGTCCCCTTGGCTTAAATGAAATGTGGGTGTGCGGTTTTGCCTTATTAAATATTTGTGTGCTTTCTGGGAAATGGAATTCTTATCGTTTAATATGCAAATGCCCCAGGGAAAAGTCTTATTAAAAATGTAATTTTATCATCAATTTATAAGAGGATTTATTTCTTGGTTGAGTTGTGAGAAAGATATATTAAATAAGGTAATAAATAGGTAGTATAAGCTCTTGGATAATAAAAGATTGGTTTAAAAATAATTCATTAATTTTAAAATTTAGGAATTACATGCTTAGCTTTTGAAATTTATCGATAAATATAACATAATTTAATTTTTGGGTGGGGTGTCTCAGAAATAATGTAAACTGGGCCATAAATAGATAGAAAATGTCTTAAAATTTGTTTATTTAAATTATATTAAATAGGATCAATTATAAACAATATTATTTTTCTTTTAAAAAATTGTCTCTAAATAAAAGTAAAATTTAAATAAGGTTCTTAAAGTATCCCAGCACTCCTCACTTATATCTATATATGGTTCAACCAGACATTCGATTGCTGCAGGCGGCAAAAGCAGCAGCAGCAAAACAAGGGCAAACAATAAAATAAACAAACAAACAAGCACGCACACATGACAGACAGGATGGTTGGTTGGCTGGATATTGTATATGTACATATATATTGTGGGGCGGGGAAATCGGGGAAGACCTCTAGACAGCCAGACCTGCATTAAATAAATATGTGCGTAATAAAAGGCAAATAAAATGGAAAAGGAATGGCATGCCATGGATCGCCGAGAAAGGCAGAAAAGAGCAAACCAATTGAAGTGTGTCGCGCCAATCGAGCCACAACACACACACAACAATTGCAATTTGTATTAATTTTATTGGTTTATTATTATCAGCGGCGACGTAGCCCCGATTGATGCCATCAGACGGTGTTCGTCGCTCGATTGAAAGCGAGTTAATTTCATTTACTGATTTGTGGCCAGCCGCCGCCGCCGCCGTCGGGTGGGGGAAGGCGGGAAGACTCCGGATGCAGGACGGGGGGCGGGGCTCCCCAGGCCAGCCGCCCTGTGTTCTCTGTAATCGCGATACGTTGCCTGGCCCATTCACCGACTCGTCGCCGATTCTGGGTCGTAATCAGCACTTTCGTGAGTCTGAAGCTGGCCGATGAACTGCAATTGCCCTGAGATTGTGATAACTCACTCTCACAGCCAAAATTTTGAGTAGCACATGGGCACGTGTAGGGTGCAGGAATTTTTTTTTAAATGTTTGGTAGATAATTATTGGTATTTTTGAATATTTATGATATCATTTGGGGTAAGACTATTAAAAATGTATTAAAAATTAAAAGAAATATAGATAACAGTATAATTATAATAGATGTTGCCTGCAGTATTTTTTTTTTTTTTTTTTTTTTTAATATTTAGAAGGTATTTTAAATATTTATGAAAATTTCTTTTTAATATATGTATATAGGTTTCGTTTTCAGTAATTTTTTAGAATTTTTAGAAGCTACTTAGAGGTAGAAAATAACTAAAAATAATTGTAAGTAGTTTAAAAATTAATCTTTTAAAAGTCTTTCTAACATATATGTCTTCGTGATTTTTTTAGAATTTCCGGAAGTAATTTATATGATAATTTATATTATGTTTGTTATCATTCTGGGTTAAGTATCACTTCAAAATTATTTTAGATTGGTAAAAAATACATTTTTCGTAAATCCGCCGCCTTTCAAAAATTGTAAGGTTTTTATTTATTATTATTTTATATTTTTAACGATTTATGTTGTTATCTAAAGTTAGGTAATCCTTAAAAATAATTTAAAATTGTCAAAAAGTACATTTTTGTATCATTCTTCCTATAAAAAAATATTTTTGAATGAAAAAATTATAATTAGCTTTATTTTACTTAAACTTTATTTATTTACATAAATATGTTTATCCGCATTCAAATTTCTCTCCAAAAAGAATTGCATAAAAAAGTCCCACCAAGGGCACTCTTAATATAGTATACCCACTGACTCAACTTAGTTGCGCCAGATCGGCCTTCCCCATTATCCACCGACCCCCCGCGGATGTCCGGCGTTATCGTCTGCGAATTCCCGATCATTGCTCCGCGTTGCGTTCATTGAACGCACTTTCGGCGCTCAAAAGCACGCGTCGTTTTCCAAAAAAAAATAAATAAAAAAACTGTACAGATAAAAAAAAATGTGCAACAAAAAAGTTACAAACAAAGAAATGGAATCAAAATACAAATCGTAAGAAAAAAAGAAAGAAAGGTAAAGAAGCTCTGTCTCCAGATACACTGGGCTGTGTATACGCGTGCATAATACAATAATAATTTCGTTTTACAAAACATAAAAAAAAACAAGAAGAAGCAAAAAAAAGTACACAAAATAAGCGCAGCCAATGGCCGCTGCAAATATAAGGAGGAGCACCAGGAGGTGGAGCTGAAGCAGCAGGAGAAACTTGCCCAGACAGCGATCCCAATCCCGATCAATGCACCTTTGCCAAAGGTGCAACGCCTCGGCAGAGTCGGCTCTTTATATTCCAGTATATACACTCGCACACACACACACACGAGTCTGGGTGTGTGTGCCAGAGTGTGTGTCTGGGCATGCAGTGACGCACGAAACGCGATCACGTTCGCATTTATTAAAAGATGGTCGCTGTTGCACCGGCAACTGGCTGGATCGGAGAACTTGGACTCCGAGCTGGCCAAAACTACGACTGTGCCTGGAGACAGATGTGGGTAACATTTGCTAGGAAGGAAAAAAAATGTATATATGTATACATAAAAGAACTGGGTAACCCAAGGGAAAACCCAGAGGTAAGAAGTGACAATCTCAATGCACTTTTCCTGATGAATTTTTAGAAAATTAGTAGGAAAAATATCTTATATTTAATATATGTAATAAAAAAACATAGGCAAAAAGTCGATCTTTATGAATAATATTTTTTAAGATTTTTTTTAATGAAGTTACAAGCCTAATTATAGCGAAATAGCCTTTTAGAGCCTTCAAACTTAGAGAAGTAGGCACAATACCTAATATATTTTACAGTTAAATCTATTTAAGCTCATTTTTTATAATTTACAATAACGTTTTTAATATAAATTCCAAAAATGTAATTAATTATTTATGAATAAATTTATTTATTTAATTTAAAGCTAAATTATAGATTTATTGAATTGCCAACAAGAGCCCTTAAACGTAGTGTAAAAATAACAGCAATGTAAGCAATTCATAAATAAATCTACATAAACTTGTATAACATAATTAATAATAATTTAAGGTGTATATAAATTTATAAATATACATTTTAATGATTTATGTAAACTAATTAAAAACCAAACTATACTAGCTCCTTTGCCAGCAAAAGCATTAAAATATAGTGTGAGAAGTACAAAACAGTACTAATTATATGGTTAAATCTATTACAAAACGTATTATATAAATAAATATAATTAAGAATATAAATATTAATTTTTCATATTTATTTGTTCATATATTTAAAAGTTTAAACATAGCTTCTTTGCCACTAAGAGATTTCAAAAATAGAGATAGAAGTATTAAACTCTCAAACTCAAACAAATTATATATTTAAATCTATTAAAAATCGTAAAATATAATATTAAAAAAATTCTTAAGACAAATTACAGCCAAAAATATAGCTACCCCACTAGCTAGGGTATTAAAACCCCCCGCCGAAGGAGTATAAAACTTGACCAACATGTGGCTTGCTTGGCTATTTTTAGACGCCTCGCTATCTGTCTGGACGTCGGGATGTCGGGATGTCTGGCCGCAGCCTCATCCGACGACTTGCACTCTCCAGTAGTTGGGGAGGTGGACGCACTGCTCCCCAGGGTCTCGGTTCATTAACTGGGGCCGAGTTTTAATCAGATTTGTGCGTGAAGTTCGGCACTCACCCGGGGCCACGGTCAGCCGACCGACAAGAAATGGGTGGGATCTCTCCAGCCGTACGGCAATGGATCCGTGAATGCCTCGATCCCGGCTGTTCTGCAACAATATTTTAATGGGAAAAAAATCGTACAAAACGTCTCGCGCCTCAGAAATGCAGCAAACTGTGTTTCCGAACCAGTTTCCCCAAAAGCCGAAAGCCAAACCCAGCCAAAAAGCCAACATCTGCGGAAGCGTGGCACTATAAACAATATTCTTTTAATTTTTGTTGCGTCGCTTTCTGGTTCTTTGCGTCTCGTCTCGCAGATTTCGCAGCAGACAAATTTATGAGCGTTAAGTGAAGGCCAATAAAATTCTTTTTGTCTGGAGTGTATGCCCGGGACGTTGGGCTGCTTCTGCTGCTGCCGGCCAGTTTTATTTCCATTTCCAACTTCTTGGTCAGACCTCACTTAAGTCATCTCTTCCGCGGGCACATTAATTTTACGGGTTCTCTTTGGGGTTTTTTTTTTTTGTTGTCTGGGTTTTTTGTTTGTTTTGGTTTTGTTTTGTGTTTGTGTTTGTGTTTGCAAAAATATGTAAATCCAATAAGGTTACAGAAATATGTGTCGGGAAGCAATAGGTAGAATAATCTTTTTAAGCAGATATTAACCATTATTTTTTGAAAAAAATTCTACTAAATTGAGCTTGTTGCCACCGGCTTATAATCAAACCTAATAATGGTTTCAGCAAACTCCCAAAAAATTGAAACCAATTTTAAATACAATTCAAACAAAGCTAAGTACTATATAACCGTTTACCAGTATCATTATAGATTCTTATCACAAGCTAATGACGATATAGTTAAAACATTTACTTGCCGTAACGGCTAGATAAAATATATACCCACACCGGAAAATATGGAAAGCTTCAGTTCCCGAAGGATAGTGAAATGTGGATGATATGGTTCACCTTGGCCTGCACTGCCACAGTAAGATAAGTAATTTCGGATTAACTCATAATAAAATATATTCATTTCTAGTGCGCCTTGACGCATGTGAGCTTTACCAATCTAAAGTGCGAGAGTTTCGATAAGAAATTCTGCCAGTTCGATGCGTGTTACATCAAGGCTGTTAATCGCACGCATAAATATATCGATTTATATGCTAAATTAATGGTACTTCCCATTCAAAATGTCGAGGTAAGTTGGAATATCTTTTACTTGAGAGATATAATATCTTGAGTGAATCTTACAGATAAAACTTGAACCCATGCGTTATGATAATGGCTACAATCCGTTTCTATTGGCCATGACCTTTGATTTGTGCAAGTATATGAGAAACCCAAGCGCTAGATCGATGATATTTCTAAGAGAAATTCATAAAACCTTTTTAAATGCTACAAATATGAATCATACCTGTCCCTACGATGTGAGTATATAGCTAAACTTGCTTCATTAACTATATACAACTATAACTATGTCGATAATTAGCACGATATCATTATCGATAAATTTTTTACCGGCAATCTGGAAAAGGGTATATCTCGATATCTGCCAATACCCAATGGAGATTATGCGATCTTTACAAAGTGGTATGTTCGTAATATCCCGCGATCCACAGTTAAAATATACTTTAAAATTACCAAATAAACTACCTGTAAATTGATCAAAAAATATATTGTAAATATTTTATTATTTAATTGGATTGTGTTTTGATTTTTAACATTAAGTTTCTAATGCTGTATAAATATTTATTTTTGAAATAAATGTAAAGCATCAACATCAACTATGAAATAAATCATTCTCTGTTGACTTGTACCAAGATTTTGTAATTTAAAATAAACCTTTTATTTGGGCAGTGTAATCTGATGATACAAGTACATGTATCATTAACAAAAAAACGGCTAATGAGCCCCGGTCATTATTTTCAGCAACGAAAGCCCATTTAACCAAAATATATAATTATTAATATTTCATACTTCAGGTGGAAAAGTTTCACTATGCGTATAATATTATATTTACTATATTTCTCTGGATATCTTTCGGTAAGCCTTGCCAGAAACAAACGTTAAAATATAAAATATAAAAATAAATAAATATAAAATATTAAACTTTTCAATTAAGGCCATCCTCAGCCATGTGGCTTTCACGAATCTCAAGTGTGGGACATCGGACAAGGGATTTTTCGACTTCCCAAAATGCTATATAAAAGCAGTAAATCGTTCTCACAAGTATATAGATATTCACGTAAATTTGAAGAAAGTACCAATGAATAATATCACTGTAAGCTTTAATATCGAAATCATTTCATGAATATATAATTCTTTGGGGTATGCAGTTAAATCTAAAGCTGATGCGCCCTTCTTCATAGACATGACCTTCGATACCTGCAGGTTTCTGAGGAATCCCAACAAAAATCCGATTGTAAAAATGTTTTACTATGCATATGTGAACAGCTCCAACCTAAACCACACGTGTCCTTATGATGTGAGTAAATATTCAATGATTAGAATTATCTCTATTTTATTTTTATTTACCTTAGCACGATTTGATTATAGATCATTTCTGGACTGGAAACTGGGAAGCAGACTTTTCAAAATATATCCCAACGATTAATGGCGACTATGGTATCTTTACAAAAATATTTTCGAATAATATCTTTCGAGGATTTATAAATTTTTACGTTCGAATATCGGGTAGGCAAGTAGAGTAGATCGTTTTATGAAAACTAAATTAAATTTAAAAGTAAATAAATTATTTTCGATCACCTGCTTCAAGACTCGAACCCACAAGTCAAGGTTTGCGACGTCGCTAACCAGTGCAAGCGAGATAGATATAGTATTGCAACTTTGTTGTCTTAAGGGTCCATTCTGGTTAGTTGGGCCAAAAAATAGGCCATTTTCAGAAATTTGTTGTGGACAAACGAAAAGACATAGAAAGTTCAAACTTGTCACATATATTTATCATAGTTTAAAGATTATTTAGCAAAATTTTCAAAAATTTTTAGAGCATGTCCTGAAGCAGGACACAGGGCGACGTAAGCGCATGCCCAAAAAAGGCACCCCTCTGGCGACCATCCTGCAGGACGTAAAAATCGACTGAAACAAAAAATTCAAATATGTTCTTGTTTTGTATGAATGTGGTTATGGAATAGGCTACTTTTTTTAAAATTGAATAAAAAATAAGAAAATGGCGGCGCCTCAAAAATTTTTTTTCGTTTTTTTGAAAAATTTCCTTACTTTTTTGTTGAGTAAAAATCCAATGTTTAAGCTATCAATATAATTGTAGCCTATTCCATGGACACGTTAATTACGCGTATTAAAAAAAAAAAAATCATTAAGATTCGTTAAAAATTGACTGAGATATTATGGTCGCCAGCCCGAAAAATGTAGTTTTCCAGAAAACGCGTTTAAAGTTTTATGTTTGCTCTGTAGCTGCTTTGAGTCGGTCGGTTCGGAGGCTCATAACTTTTAAACTATTACGTATTTCGATTTGATCTTTTAGTATGATATTCTACAAACTTAAAGCTATTGAAAAATGCAAACAAAAAAAAATTCGATTTTTTTTTTCAACTAACCAGAATGGACCCTTAAAAGTTACTTGTTTATAATTTATATACTATGATTTCAGTGTATTTAATAAAAGTATATACAAAAATAATATAATTTTGTTCAATAGCTAGTTAAAATAAAATTATATTTTATCAAAAGTCAACTTTTTTTAAAATTTCCATCAGGTTTTAATCTGGTTTCCACTCGATCCATTCGGTTACACCCATTAAATATGAAATGTTCAATTGCCAAGTTTAATTGGCAATCCTACCAGCAATATAAAAACCAAGTACTAATAAATATGTATTGCATATAGACAAACATTTACTAATATTGATTTTTTTTAATTTTAACCAAGTGGCTTTCGATAAATCGAAGCAATTATAATAAATATTATTTATGCAGGCACTTACAGAGTTCAAAAAGCCAAACGAAATGTTTATGGCTGTTGCACGGAATAATGACATTTTCGTTTTAAAAAATTAGAGATCGATTGCGAACAGTTTTAAACGCAATGTGGAAGTTGCTAGTGCTCGGCTTGTGGATAACTCTGCCAAAGGTAATCGAATTGAATCATTAAAATGCAAATATAAACAAATCTTTTACCCAGATGGGCCTGAGTCATGTCACATTTACCAACCTGAAGTGCAGTTCCTATAATCCGGAATATCTAGCATTTCCCACCTGCCAAATAAAGGCGGTCAATCGTACTCACAAGTATATAAATATATACACCAAATTGTTACAATTGCCCGTTTCCACGTCTTGGGTAAGTTTTAAATTAGGAAAAAATATATATGATTCGTTCAGTTGATGTGGCTTTCAGGTGAAAATACAATTCCTGCGCTTCGATAATGGCTATAAACCGTTCTTTATCGATATTTCCTACGATGGATGCAAATTTTTTAGGGATCGAGAGAAAAATCCCTTGGCTAATTTGTTCTATAATACTTTTAGAAACAGTACAAATCTGAATCACACCTGTCCCTATAATGTGAGCTAGATTTGCTCGTTTTATTATATATTTTTGTATTTTTAATCAAATATCATTTATAGCATGATGTGATAGTGGATAAATTATGGACGGGAAATCTGGAGAAGGATTTTGGACGTTATATACTAATACCTAATGGCGACTATGCCGTATATTCCGAATGGAGTTGCGATGGTACTCCTCGTGCTTCTGTTAAAATTTATATGAAATTGTTTGATAAATAGTGGCAACTATATGTTTATATATGTTAACTTATAGATCTTGTGAACAATAATTGTTTAATTCTTATTTTGTTTTGTATATGGTTTTGATTTTGGAATTATTGGTATAAATAGAACAAAAACTTAACATTTCAAAAATTAAATAGCTTTAATGTGATTTCTTCTATCACCTGTTTCCTGTACTTTCTCAGTACATTTTGCTTTTATTCACAACCTAAATTGTTCCTTTGGAATTTTCCCAGAATCTCTGAAAGCATCACACGAAATAATTCATCAAACGTAGAAGGCAGGAGAGGGCTCGTCCATTAATAATAAATTAAACATATTCCCTGGCACGCCTTTGCCTGCCCAGCGCCACCAGAACGCTCCTCTCTCGTTTTGGGCTCGTCTGGTTTCTTCTGGTGTTCCAGGGGATACGAATTGGTTTTTGTTGTTTTCCTAATGACCTAGAATACAAATTCAGGCTGCCACCGTTCTCCACTCGCCGATTAGCGCGAATCCCTGGGCTATCAAGGCTGCCAAGTCATCCACAGGCAGTCACTGAAACGGAAGCTAATCGCTTGACTAAGTTCCTTAGGCCCCATCCCAAAACCTGGTTCAATCTTTAGCGGATTGCGTAATACATACACGTGCAGGAGTACAAGGGGGGTCAAGAAATTAGAACTACTTTTGCATATAGAATTCTACAAGTTGGAATAAGTGGTTTGGTTCTTATCGAACAGCTTTTCTATACAGTTTTTTATAATTCAAATCTTATTCAGTTTGAAGATCAAAATTAAATGGTTTATAAATGTTAAAAATTTATTAACAAAATTAAAATCAAGTAGTTCCCATTTTATGTTCTTAAAAAACGTATTTCTTAATTAATTAAATTTTATTATTATTATTCAGACCCATTATTTTACCCTCTCCTGTATGACTACTGCCTGCCAGATGACGATGGTGGTCAAGGTGGAAGCTTTGTGGCTTCGACTGTTTGTCTGCCGGATTATAAATGATTTGCCATTAATTCTACACAAATGCCAGGGGCTGGCAGACAGAAAGCAGACCGGCCGGCAGAATATTAACATTTAGCATTGGCCGAGCAGGTAGTCGGCCAGTCACCAGTTGCCAGTCAGACAGAAGTGAATAATCAATATCATTTGATTACATTGATAACGCTTTTTGTGCCGCTTTTTTTTCTACACATATATATGCTTATATATATTTTTTTTTTTTGGTTGCTTTGTTCTCTGGGGTTTTACTTTATCGGGCTGCGATTCCCGATATCCAAACGCATTCGTCACTGGCGGCATTGCCGAATGTCTAGACGATAGCTCCATAAAATGTATTATTGCCTCATTTTGCTTTTGCTTTCTGTATGCTACACTTGGCTGAGAACACAAATTTGGGGTATAAAGCCTGGAGAATGTATGGAAGTACGAGGTGTAAAATATTATTATAAGTGGAATGTAATAATAATAATAAAATAGGTTAATTTTTCACTGTTATCTGTAGATTTTAACCTTTAAAATTTAGTTTAATATAATCAGTTAACTAAGGAAATCCAAATAAGGCAATATTTTTTTTCTTAGCAACAATTTTAAAAGGAAGATAATTATTATCTTTAAACCAATAATTAAAATAAGTTTTTCTATATATTAAAAAATATATCCTTAATATTTTTAAGGGTATTTCAAGTTCTCCTTAAAATTTGTTGCTTTATTTTTGGCAAGTTTTCGTTTCTGGCTGGCGATTTGAATATTATTGAACGGCGTCTGGCGTCTCTGACGAGCGCGACGTCAGAGGACTGACGTGAATCGATACCGCTGCCAAGTCGGGTATAGAGTGGCTATATCCCGCGACCAAGAACACAATGCAGGTTGAGGGGTCGGCAAAGGAAGTCGCCGCCGATGATCAGAGGCCTCGGATGCCGCTTGGCGACAGTTGCAGCCAATGCCAAAGAAGCAAAAAACACCAGACAAAAAAAAAAACAGAAACAAAATAAATAAAAAGGGGTGTGCACACCACCAGGATATGCTTGTGTGTCTCCGCTTTACCCGGCGATAATAAAGACAAACCATTTTTTTTTTCGCTGCATATTAAACCGATGAAATGAAGCGCAAACTGATTGTGCTCGTTTGCCAATGTGGCTGGTGGTGGTGGGGTTATGGTCAAAGCGATTTGCTGGACATGGCATTAAGGGGAGCTGCCTCCTGCACTGCCGCACCCAGAGATCGTCGGCTCCATTCCCACCTTTCACATGTAACTGCAGCTCACGGCGGCGAACTACAAAAGCCTAAAAAGGGGGAAAAAAGACGACCGACGACGACAGACTACAGACGATGACGACGACAACGTTTTGAGTATCTGCCGCTCCGCCACAGCCACTGATAACAACTGGAGCGGCAAATCAAGAGGTAGAGATTAGTCCGCGAATCCGAGATCTGGGATACTCTTGATGGATGAATATTTAAAGGATATTTGGTGACAAAAAAAGGATAAAAATTGTGTAACAAATCTTAGAATAACTTTTAATAAACATATGTTATATTCAGTGTCTCTTATAATTATTTACACTTAAATAAACTAAATAACTTTACTTAGCTATTTTTCTGAGCTTTGATATTTAAGTTCTAATATTGCCAATTCATCGATTTTTAAAACCAAAGAGTTTATTTGATTATTATCCCTAAATAACTCGATATATTAAATGTTCAATTAAAGCTGTGTCAATGTGATTATCCTTCCACCAAATATCAATACCCTCCCTTTGCAGGGTATAATGAAAACCTCACAAATAAATAAGGCAAAGGGCGCTGCGGCAAGGCAAGTGAGGGGGGCGGCAGGTGAGTGCAGCGGTGGCGGCGTCATCAAGAGATTGGCCCGGGCAACTGACACACGCACCGAATGTCGCCTTTTGGCTTTTGAAGTCGCTTACTTTAGCTGCAGCCGCGAGTGTTTGTGTGTGTGTTTCGATTTTTTTCGGGCCAAGAGAAGTTTCGGATTGCAAAAGAGCCAGGCAAATGAGATGAGAGGCAGAGATCCTCCTCCCCCTTCTCCTCCTCCTCCTCCCCGGAACTCTGCCGCCGTCTCAGGTGTGTGTTAATTGCATTAAAATGTTTGTAATTGCGATGCAGAGTCGGCAACGAGCGAGAATTGCCTGCCTTTCTCTTATCTGCGGGAATCTGCGGCATATAGTAGAAGTTGGGGCACTGCAGAGCAGACATGCCAAGCTGTCGTCGTCGGGCCAAAAATGCCATAGTTGCCGCCAAAGTCGTGTAACTATAATTGCCATAATAACATAATATCTTGGGGCACTAGCACTGGCTCTAGGCAACGGCAGCTGCAACAACAAAAGCCCCGACAGAAAGGTGTCGAGAGACATATTCTCCTAGACGAGAGGATTCCTCCTCGGTCCCCACCTCTCCTGGCGTGGCCAAAAAAGGCAACAGAATGCCGGAATGACGAGCGGACAGCAGCAGCAGCAGCAACAGCAGACAATTGTCCCTGTCTTTAGCTCCGAGCCGGTGGAGGTGACATTTTTCTCATGCCCAACGAAGCGAACAGCTAAATGCAGTTGATGGAGCGCCGTCAGCGTAGGGTGCCCCAAGTGGACAGTGCACAGTGGTTCCTCAGAAGATGCAATTCATAGAGGATAACTCTTGGTCAATAGTTGATATTTTCAATATTTCCTTGAGTTTCGATTTTACCAGTTTTCATAGAAATCTCTATAGACTTAATAAAATAATCAAATGAGATAAATTTCTAAGGATTTTAAATACTTAAGGTTCTCCTTCCTGGTTTCTGTGATATTTATCATCCTACAACTTTTCCTTAAACAATAATTTCTTAAAATTAACCCTAATTGTTGAGAATCACTGTACACTGAGCTTACTTTTGGCTTGACTGGCTTGACTTTTCCGCATGTTTGGCTCACTGCCTGACTTGTCAGTCTCCCAACCCCTCCCAGCTCCCCTCACCAGTCCGACTGGCTTTTGTGTCCATTTGGGTTGCGGCATTTAGTTTGGAGTCTGTCATGCCTCGCTCACGTTCACTATCTCATTGCAGTCGCCGTCGCCGTTTCGTTGTCTCACTCTGGCTCCTTTGGAAAGTCCCCCTCCGCCCACCTCCCCCTTTTCCACCTCCTGCTACGCCTCACTGCCCCGCGCCAGTCCGTCTGCCTTGTTTGTCAAACAGCAACAGAAAAACAGTTAAATGCCAGTTTACCAGTTAAAATCGGAATCAAAGCGAAAACAATGACACAGTAGCTTTAACAGAGCATTTAGCAAGGGGGGAGGCCGTACAAGGAGGGCGGTAGCTAGACGGCCAGTAGAAAGAGAAAAAAGCAGGAGAAATAAAAAGAGACGGGGCTAGATATGTACTGGCCAGGTCGACGAGCAAAGTGAAGTAAGTAGCAAGCGGCAAAGGCAGAAAAAAAAAATCGTCTAGACACAGACTAGACTCCATAAAAATAATTATTATCGGTTGCAATTTCTGCTGCTGCTGCTGCTGCTGCTGCGCTACACTTCCCTCCCCTCTAGAGTCCGCCCCTCGCATTCCGAAACTCTTTCGACGCCTCCAAAATGTCCATCCATCCAATCCAGACCAGACCAGGCCAGGCCAGGCCAGGCCAGTCCAGTCCCACTGACTGAAATCGTTCGTCTCGTCGCTGTCCGTTTCATCTGCCTCACATTACACAGCCAGCTTCAGTTTCTCGGGGTTACACTTGAAGAAAAACTTTCAATTTAGGGCTATATTTAAGATATTAAAGGCTTGCAAGGGAGAGACTTCAAAGAAGGTATTTAGATCTTTCTTTCTTCAATGTTTAAACCTATTTTATAAACCCTTGAATTTTGTGGCCTTTGGGAAAATAGTTTTCGTTGATCTGAACGACACATTTAGTTGAAAATTAACCAAGTTTTTTAATGATTATTTTATAAAAATATTTATTAAAAATATTGAGATATTCTAACGTCTTTTAATAACCAATTTCCCTTTGTAAACTCCATACTCTCCCACAAGATCTTAGAATTCTCTAAATTCTCAATACAAAAATCTATATTCATCTATCTACAATTTCTAACTTTCCTTTTCCATATTCCCACTCTTTATTTTTTCCTGTGTACCAACTAAATCTCTCCATTTTTCGTTCACCCATTCAAAAGTTTATTCTTTGTGTTCGTTTCGTTGTTTGTTTGTTAGAGAATGGCCACAGACTCGACCACTTGCCAGTCCTGCAACTCCGCTCCGCCTCAGCCATTCTCCGTTTCTCTAGGGTCTCAGGTCTCCCCAGGCTCCGTAACCAGCATCAGCATCATCATTATCACCATCGCTCATGCTCATCATGATGCCATTGCAATGGGAAACGAAATGAAACGAAGACGGAAACGCGATGCAAACGCAGACGTCCGCTGCAGACGGAATTGAATATTTAACACCAAATCCCCAGAATGTGGCAAATTGCCTTTGGTATCCAATTGCTCACTGGGAATAGGGACCCGTATGCCCGGAGGGATTCAGAGGGTAAATGCAGTGTCGATGTCTGCTAGGACCTTTATTAAGTCACTTTGAATCCATTGAGAATGCTAAAGGCATAAAAAAAATCGTACATTTAGGAAGTTTATGTTTTTCTTGCTTTGGTTTGTGGGGTTTTTAAAAGGAATATATTTATATGGTACTTTTTAAGCATTTAATGTAAACACAAACAAGGTTTTTTTATAATTTATATTAATGTTATATGTACTTAACAAAGTCTAGACATTTTTCCAAAAGTTAGTTTCCTTTCTCGTTTTTAATATAAAACTAATATCAAATGTCATTTATACATGAAAATTTATCACTAAACTTAGAAAAACAATTCACTAATTTCTATCTATTTTAATATTTCTTAAAAAAATATTTGTCTATATTATTATTCCTCATAAAATCTACTCCAACAGATGAATTAATTTTCGATTGCCGCCTATCGATTTCAAATCTGATTTGTTATTCCGCTTGATTATTATCCTTGCTTCCCCGTACCCTAGAATAACCTGAGCTAGGAAAATTCCACCCAGCTCGCTTATTCACACCAATTCATTGACTGAGGCCTCGCTTTGATAACCAATTTATTTAGCTGATTGCCAGTAAAATCAATGCCCGAAAGCTAAACCAAAATTGGAGGTGGTCAAGCCACAAAAAACACCACCTACCTGCTGCTACCTTGTGGGAACCCCACAAACCGTTTTGATGATGTGCCAGACTGCCGAGTGACCAGTGCCCAGTGCCCAGTGCAGAGTGCGAGTGCGAGTGCCAGTATTTGGGAACACAATTCGAGACCATAATTACATTTATTGCAATACAAAAGCGCACTCGCCGCCAGAGGAGCAGGGGGTCATTGGCTGGTGTGGGGGGAAGTTGGTGTCCAGGGGAAGTTTGCCCAACGGAACATGCATTGACAGATGGACAAAAGGCTGGAGGGAGTGAGGAGACATGTCGTCACGCTTCGTTGGGCTGACATGCAGTGGACATCGGTCTCTATTCCATGGATATGGAGTAAGGAAAATGCAAACGGTATAGACACTGAACAAAACTATCCGAAAATAACTTTTTTAAAATATTTTTAAATAACCAATTCCCGAAAGAAAAGTTTTTAAAAATGTTGAAAATATTATATATATATTGTATTTATTTTATCTAAAAAAAATCGAAATCAAACTTTGGCCAGAAATTTGCACTTAAGAAAAATAAATAATTAAAAATATAAACCAGCCTCTGAAATTTGGACTTGAGAATTATAAGAACAGGGTAATTAATTTTTACAAATGAATAAGCAGAAACCAAATATTTTATTTGTATCTAGAGGATAATAAGTAAGTAAAAACTCCCACAAAAGCCTCATAAATCTCTTTAAAAAATGTATCTTTATTAACCCTATTTTAAAACCTCTTTTCTTTCAGTGCACGATTCACGATAATTGCCACAATTTGCTTGTTGCGTGAATGGACAGACGGAAAAGTGCCTGCGATTACACAAAAAAAAGGGGAAGGTTTACCTCCACGGCGAAAGGGTGCAAAAAGGACAACTTCCGTTGGCTGGACACGGGCACACACATTGCATACATTGCAAATATGTATAAGCTTGTATGTAGGGTCTTTTTTTGTCTTATGTCCGCCTTGTGTCATATTTGAGGTGAGCATAAAGCCACTCAACGCCGCCATAAATCAACTGCACTCTGATCTAAGGCTGTCAGCGTGGAGAGACACCAGACAGCGCGACTGAGCGACAGATAGCGACCAAGAACAACAAAAGTAACAAAAACATAAAAGTTTAACAAAAACCGAAGATAAGAATACCCTAAGGTATATAGAGAAAATATATATGTATAAGATATATAGAATATAGAATAATAAAAATAAAAAGTTTTAAACTTCTAAGGTAAGTTTAACAGTTTTTATTTGATTTAACTGCTTGACTTTCTTTATTTCATTTTGTAATATTTTAAATGGTCTTAAAAGTTTTTTTATTTTCACCCCCTCTAAGCCTTAGTAAATATACCCTTAAGCAGATCATTTCAGCTACAGCGACAATGACGACAAGTTTAGCCCATAACTTTCCAGACGACAAACAGACAACATCGCCGTTGTCGTCGTGTCTGATGTTGATGTGAATGTCGATTGCGATGTCTGCTTTTTCGCTGGGGTATCCATGGATATGTGCGGCTTGGCTTTAGCTGCAACTCGTTCTGGTTCTGGGTCTCCGATTCTCACACACGCCGAGAAGAAGGCTTTCCAGGTCGCCGATGCCTTTTTGTGGGAATGCACCTGAGCTTTGGGGTTCGCCTGGCTTTTATTTTTTAGTTTTTTTGTGTTTTTTTTTTCGTGCTTTGTTGGAAGTCTTCAACCGACTTCGACTTTGACTTGTGTCTAGACTGCAGACTGCAGACGGCAAAAAGGAAACAACAGGAAACGCCAGCAGACAACAGACGGGCAGAGGCAGACCTCTTTGACAGCTCAAACAACTGAAACGAGCCGACGACGACGCTCGACAATGGCAACAAAAGCAAGTTGCAACCTCGATTGCACAACTGCAGCAGAAGCAGCCGAAGTAGCAGCAGCAGCAACATTGCAGCCGAAACGGCAACATCCAAGGTATTGGGCAAACATTGCCAAACTGCGCGAACAATTCTCAGCTGTCAATAATATCTGTCAGCGTTGTCGTTTATATTCTAGCTGCTTTTGTTTCCTTTAGGTTTGGGTTCTTTTGTCTTTTGTTTCTAAAATATGTCATGTGTCTGAAATGGACACTATCCTGAAGTTAAATGTCTGGATGGGCAAGGGGTTGGTAAGGAGAAGGAACTATGCATATTGAAAAATAAAGAAGGAATATAGAGACGGAGTTTTTGAGAACTTCATGATCAAGCTGATAGTCTAAAGATTTTTATTTAATTTATTTAATGCCGAAATATTTGAAAAATAATATTTGAAAGCAGTTTCATTACATTAAGGAATATCCTCTAGTTTCCTTCACAGAACCCCTACATCTTTGACACACTTTTCCATATATATTTTCATAACAATTTTCCTGTCCCTTCAAGAGTCTGAAAACCGGTAACCCCTACTATAGGATATACCCTACTTTATGCCCAGGCGGCAACTGTAATTCGTTTTAGTGAATTAAACAGCTTAATTAGTTTAACTCGAGTCGGCGAGACTGGAGCTTGGAAATGGAGAGATTCCGGCCAGTGATTTGGCAGTTAGTTCAGGACATTGCATTCCTGTCTGTCTGGGGGCTTTCCCCCCTCATCTATCCGGCTCATTTTGGGTGTACGAGTACGAGTACGAGTATTCACCGCTGCTGGCAGGCATTTAGTCCGACTTGATGTCGTTGTCGTCGTTGTGTTTAATTATTCAAAACCATGTCATGTCTCTGTATAATTTTATGCATTGGCCAATCCAAGCGCCACGATGAAAATGATGATGATGATGATTACGAAGCATGATGATGATTACCAGCAATGATGATGATGATGATGACGCCTACACAGAGGCGAAAGAGGTAGACGCCAGACAGCTGACACCGAAACTACAGTTACACTAAGGGAAAAGAGTGAAAAATTTTCAAAGAAATACAATTTTGGGGCCTTTTTAAGTTTTATAAAAACAAATAAGATAGTACTACATATTTAAGGCCTGAAAAATAAATATATAATTCATTTCCGCAAAGTTTTTTAAGAGTTTTCAAGGTTGAAAAATCCTGCTGCACTTGTCTTTTCTTTTATAAAAATATTTATAAATAATTTAATTTATTCTTCCTGAAAAGACTTAATTAATTTAAAATTCTTTTATTTTTAAATTTAACAAAAATCACAACGAAAAATAGTTATTCAAGTGTAAAACTACAACTATCTTTTGAAAACGCCACATGTGGCAAAGACAGCAACCGCAGTACAGACAGAGAAGGGGCGACGTCCGTAGAGGGAAACAGTGTCCAGGGGCAAGGAGTGAGATGGCAAGAGAAAAAGAGAGAGAAAGACAGAGCGAGAGCTGGCTGCACTGGCAAAGTGGCATACCAGACAGTCTGACGCTGTTGGTGCCCACGAATGGCCCCAGTTGCCGCTCCTTCCACCTCCAATCCCTCCCGGCTGCTGGTGGCCAGATCTTGCCGTCTGGACGAGCACAGCGACAACAATAATAACAACAACAAAAATAACAACAAAACACAACAACCATCGACAACGACCACGACCACTGTCTGTGGCAGACCGAGACTATCGAAAACTCGAAATTTATTCGTTGGAAAAAGTTGATTTCTGTCGCCTCCTTTTTTTTGCTGCACGCTTTTTATATATTTTTTTATTTTCTGTTGAGCTTTATGAATAGGATTGAGGGGTATATGGGTTAAAAAATAAAAAAAGATTTATTGAGAAATTTGAATTACCCATTTCTGTAATACAAAGTCTTAGAACATAATTTCAGATATTTTTTTTAAACTATATTTTTAATTTAGAATGCAAAACTTAAAAATTAATAAATTTCCAAATCTGTAGGAAGTTTTTAAAAATATATTTTTAAATCTAATAATTTATTTAATATTTTATTTTTTAATCAACCAAACTTGGTCATAGATTTTTGTTTAAAAACTGAGTGATTCTTAAGTTCATCACATTGACATTTCCATTTTACCTCTACTTCTCTTTCATTCAACCTCTATCCCTCTCTTTCTCCTGGCTTGTCTGTGTTTTAAACCTTCATTGTTGGCTTTACTTTTTGTTAATAAAAAGAAGAGCAATAAAAATACAGAGATGCCCACGAAAATTATGTTAACCAGCCAGCTGTGTTAAAAATCCCACATCATATCTATATCCCTCAAGCCCCTGGGCCTGCCTGTGATTTTCCTACTTGATTTTTGCTGACAAATGCGATATCTCAGAAAACAGAAAATGGTTTAAAAATGTTTTCTATACTGGAACTTCGGACTGCAATTATTGCTGGCAGTTAATTGTTATGTTTCTTGTTTTGTTTTTTGGATTTTTGGTTAAGAATTGTTCCATAAAAGTAAATTAAAAATGTTTAAAAGAAATGTATACCTAGACTAAAATTAAGTAGATTTTGTAAGTATTTCAGTAAAGCTAGTGTGCTGAAAAGTCCACCTAAACCTCAACACACAATTGAAACCAAGTGACACAAATATTTGTGAAATGTTAATGAATGGAGTCCATTAGTGACCACCTTCATCTTATTTCCTAAATTCACTTAATCACAAGTTATCATTTTTCCTGTCCCATACCTGTAATTTTTCAATCTAAAGGCTAATGGCTTCAACGTTTATTTTTTTTATAAATATTACCTACTCACCGTATTTCTGCCAGAAGGTTTCCTCGCTGCCCACACTCGACTTGGTTTTCGAATCGAAAGGGGAGTGGGAATCGTAGTTGGAGTCGCCTGGGGAAACCGAATCCTCTACTTCATAAACTTCCGTGTAAAGTATGAACTCCAGTCGCGATCTTGGCGTGCTTGTTGTTGATGTTGGATGCTGCGGCGGGGTCAAAGGTGATGCAGTGGTCGCTGTTTGGGCTGTATCACGTTTGCGTTTAAAAATACGATGCACATGTGGCAATGTAGTTGATGTTGCTGGTTTCAGTGCTGCTTGTGTTGCTGCTGCTGCTGCAGATTGCTGCAACAATGTAGCACGTTGATTAATTTGATATGGCAAATGCATAGACGCGGGCGCTGCGGATGAAGACTGCGACGCGACGCGACAACGACAACGAAAACAACAACGCGGCCAACAACGACGATGATGATGATGACAATAATGACGATGACGATGATATGGACAGGAGGAGCGATGGCTATGGCGATGGCAAAGGGATCGCCGGTTTGTATGAATATTTGTCTCGGCACTTGGACTTAAGTGGCAATCCGCACTCGATGCTGGTAATTTATTTTGCAAATTTGTGCCAACAGCGAGAGGCTGCCGCATCGGCTGCGACTGCTCCCTGCTCGGAATTAAATTTAACTTACGCGTATTATTTGCACTATTTACACTGCACAAAATTGCACTACTACTATTTACACTCGTGGCACCAGCACCTGCTACACTGCTCTCACTTTCGCCTCCTTTTCCAGTTGCACTCGATATTGAATTTATTATCGTATCGCTTTTCTGGCATTTCACACAATTACCACTGCTGCTGCTGCTGCGTGTTATTTGCTTATTTAACTTTTCACTGAACGTTGCCGTCGCCCATAGGTAGGCTATATTATCCTGATCCGGTTCCCGCTGCAAGATCCTGGCGGTATGACTCACCGATCTCGGCATTGGCGGCACCGCGAGGGCTGCGGCTGAAACGAAGGCCGGCTGCAGGAAGAGGAGCTTTGTCGTCGGCGGAACAGTGGATATGGGTAGGGAGACCAGGAGACCACCGATCACAACCACTGTCCACCACCACAATGTGCAGCGGGCCCCCGCGGCGCCACTGGCTGCATGCGTGGGGGCCACAGCGTCGTCCGCCGCCGGCGATCGGATTGTTTACGCCGTGCTATCGTCCGCGAATTTTCCAAATTGCATGCTCAATTACGTAGCAATAGACACGATTTAATATGCGTTGTTTATAACCTGCAAAAAGAGGAGAAAGAGAGCTGTGAGTTGGGGGAATTTACTTTGCTACATCAAATATATTGTTTGATATGGTATAAATATGTCCTTATAGACATTGGTATTCTAGATTATATCAATATATTTTTAAGGATACTGATATATAATAGATGATAAATAATAGATATACTCCCCAAAATGTCTTCTCTTACAGTTTTTCGTTAAAAGGAGGTATATTTCCTTCTTTCCCAATTTTAATTCAAGAAAATTTCCGTCTTGATTGCATTAAAAGTGAGTCTAACTTTAGGTCATTTCTCCCAGTGTTTCTATGCTGTGTGGTCGCCCACTTGGCTCTTGTATCTTGTTGCTTTCTTTTATTTAGCTGCATTTGCTTTTGTTTTGTGCCAGTCCGTCCCCGTAGCAAAAAGTATCCATCCACCGACGTCCCACAATGATTCCGCCCGAGAGACCCCGACAAGAATAATATATAGTATATGTGTGTAGAGTGAGTCATGGGGCAGGGAGAATCATCGGAGAAAGGTGAAGAGAACCAGGAGGAGACAGTGTCTGAGCATCGCCCTGTGGGCATAAATAACCCCGAGAGCCGCAGAGACAAGAACAACAATAATATGCTTGGGCATTGTTGTTGCTGTTGCACGCTGCGTATGCGTAATATTTTGCTGAAATTTATGTTGCACTTCTTAGCGACTTCGTTTTTATTATAATGATGATGATAATGATGATGATGATCATCATTATTATCCGGCGACTTCTATATTTAAAGCAGATCAACAGGAACACAAAGAAGGGTGCGAAAAAGACAGCAATGTCTTCGTTATGCACTTTACTTTCCATTGCCCTCCGCCATTTTTCCACATTTTCCTCATAGAGAAAAACATACAAATTGCAAGAAACTCGTGAAAAATAAGCGCTTAAATGAAAACAACAAGAAAATTAATATGACTAGTTAAGGTGGAGAGATATATAGAGAGAAAGAATGAGATAGATAGATAGAGTGAGAGGAGTTGATTGTGTTGAAGAGAAGCAACTGGGCTATAAAAGGGCAAGGTGGAATGACTTGTTTGTTTTGCATTTTTGGTATGCAGAGTAATTTACTAATTGTCTGGAATATGTATATATATAAAATATATATATAATAATAAAATAACACTTGAAGATAATTAGGAAATTATTATTTATAACTTTAACTTTGACTACTGTCCTAATATTTTTATAAATATGTCGTTGTATTTGTTACTCTTTAAATTAAATCCAAAATATTTATTTTCCTTATCCAAAAATACTTTGATTAATTTACTTATTTTCTCCAGATTAAAGGACCCAGCCTTATCTCTTTTATTCAGTTTAATGGGCTTTTCAGTCTCGCTCCGTTTGGTTTGCCATCCCCATATTTTGGATTTTTATGATAATGCACCAACAATGTTGCACCCCAATGTGTCCGAGACAGATTGATGCCGCGAAACACAACAACGGCATCAAGATGGATTGTGGAGACGCATCATCCTCATCAGCATCAACTTTAGCATCATCCCGATCCTCGTCATCATCATCCTCCCGTCCCGTCCCGTCTGTTGTCTGATTCTGTTGTTTGTCCCTTGTCTTCTTATTCTTTTAGTTCCCTTTATTGAAATTCCTTTCAAGTGTCTGAGGCGATCGTCATCATCCTGCTATAGCCTCGCCATGATCGCCATCATAATCATTAACAACCTTTGCTGTAGTGTTTGTGTTTGATCTGCTTTCGTTGCCCAGACAGACAGACAGACAGAGGAGGAGACTGAGACGAGGAGACGGTAAAAGAAACACTCGACTGCAGCTACTGTTTCCCCTTTTCGGATTCCTCTTGGGCCGTGGCAATTTATTTGATTGCCTCTTCATTCTGCCCCTCCGAGTCCCTCTTTTCGCCTGAGTCCACGGACCTTAAGTCGAAATTTATGTTTGCCATAAAAACACGATCTGCGACTCCGAGTCATAATTAATAAAAAAAAAGAGCGAACAACGTAAATCCAAAATGCTAAATGCAAAATGCAAAACAAAAACGAGCCCACAAATGCGGCCATAAAGTGCTGACAAGTGTTTTCTGCTGTCCAACAGCAGACCCCAAACAAAAGCCTCGCGTGAGTCAAGATCATTTTGAGACAGAGTTTGTTTAGGCCTCTTTTTTTCCACTGGCACCATCTGGCCTGGGAATGCCAGGCGAATGAAAGGTACGGGTCCGGGATTGCATAAAGAGAAATTACCATACAAAGTCAATTCGCTCCAAAGGAATGTTGCAAATAAAATAAACTGCCCGTTGCAGCTGAATATAAAAATAAAGGTGGTTTAATGGACTGTTCGTTGCTAGCAATAATCATAAAAAAAAGGCTTTTACATATCCCTAATGTTTATAGTTTATAAGGTAAATTTGTATATTAATAGCAAGTAATTAATGAGCACAAAAGAGTTCATGAAGGAAGGTATTTCTTAGCTGCCAAAAGAGTCAAGTTTTTGAGGTATATTTCACTTATTTCACTAGTGAAAGTAGATATACAACTATTACATAATTTAAACTTTTTTTCCTTATTTCCAAAATACAATTCAGTTCTTTTATAATTACTTTTCTAATTTCACACAATGGATTTATATATGTATTTAATTTTTTTCTTGTAATCCTTTTTTAATTTATTTAAATTTTTGTATTGTTCCTATTGTCTTTCGCTATTACTTTAAGTATTCTTCAATCAAATTATGAAACTGAGTTGCGCTTTTTTTGGGTTTAGTGAACAAAGTAATAAAATTTGAAATGAATTTCAAGAATTTTAAAGATTTAAAGGGACTTTTCGCTGCCAACAATATGCACAAAAAAGGCTTTTAAAAAGTATTTTATATTTCGTATATTATAAGTATTAAATAGGCTCAAAAAGATAGGAAGGAAGGAGTTCTTTTGGAGTCAAAAGAGTCAAATTTTAAGTGAATAAAATAAAAAAAATTCCAAAAGAATTGGATTGATTTATTTTAACTTTTAAAACACTGATAATATCAACAAGAAATTGTATACCCCCAGCTTGATTTTCAAATAAATTCCAATAGCTTTATTTCGCCTTTCAAATTCAATGATTGAATCAATTGAAAATTGCTATTCACCATTTTAAAAGCCGCTTCACTCACTGAAAGTCATAAAATAACACCATATATCAATAAAAATAACAATATCAATATGCAACAACAACAACAATAATAACAACAACCGGTGAAGAGCTCTCAACATAAGCATTTTCATCTAATTCAAACACATTCCAGTTTATTTTTAAACAAAACGCTAAATTCTTGTATTTATTTTCGTGCCGGCCAACAAAAAAGATAATCGAAAACATTTATTTTCAATTTCCACACAGTGCTTAGAGGAGAGCACTGGCGAAGGGGGGAAAAGAGGGAAAACCCAGGAATTTGCATGTAATCGACAGCCGGCGCTGTTATCGATAAAAGCACCGAAAAAAAGTCGAGCATTGGCATTTGCATTTCCCAGATAAGCGAGTTGAAGTGTGTGTTGTGTGTGATACGTGGACATACCAGAAAGTCGAACGCTCGATTTGACATTGAGCAAACGTAAATTCAAAGAATTCCTCTGGCCCAGGAAAAATGTATTTTCTTTAGCTTTTCTTTTTTGCCCAAAAAACGAAAAGAGTGTCCTCCGATCGCGTCACAATTCTACGACTTTACGCACGATTCGCGACCGAAAATATCGAGCGCACTAATCGAGGAATTTCACACATGACAACCAAGTATTTGCGCTGCATCTCTCTCCCCATTCACGTTTGCATCTTTTGCTTAATTTGTATTATTATTTTATGTTATTTCTGATTAATATTTGTGGGTTTTTTCCTTTTTGTACTAGAGAAAAAAAGTGAAAAAAATGTAAAGCACTGCCAAGAGCCACTGATTAACTGTCAACTACTGTTGATTGCACGCTTGTGTCGGTAATTCCCGTTACCATTCGTCACATATACATATATACGTGTGGAATAAATAGCTATATAACGATCCGATCTAGCCGCCAACCTGCGCCGCACTGAACTAAATGCGATTTTTTGCCGATATCGCAGCTAACATAAAAATTGCCCGTTTGTCTCCAATATTTCACACATTTCGCACACTCTCAGACTCCGAGGCCCGGCGTCGTCGTCGTCGTCGTCGTCGTCTATATAGACAATATATATCCCTACACTAGTCTGGGCTATAGACGGGGGTCTGGCGACAGGCGTGCCTTTTATTTTTACCGCTCACAAGACACACACAAAACATACGCGAAATACAAAAGGAAACAAATAAAAAGTCAAGAAAATAGCAAAATTATTTTCGTACTTAAAAATAAATTGAAAAGCATTTTCTTCATCTGTTTTTGCAACAACGGCCACATGAAAATCAAGCGTGAAAAGTGCCTTCAGTGCTCGTCTCCACTCCCCGAATTTTCCTGAACTTTCCCTCGCCACTTTCGCGATGTCTCCACTCTCCAAATCTTCAATCTCCGAAGGGCCACCCCGCCGTCGTAATGCAATGTTTTTGCTCTTCGAGGATCGAGAGCGCGCCTCGTCTCCGTCTCCGTCGTCCGTCCGTCTGAATGTCCGCCTGTCTGGCCCTCTGCTCATTATTTTCCTTCGCCAGCCTCTTCGGGAGAGATGCGAACATAACAAGCGGGTCCAAAAATATACCCCGTCAGTGGGGTAGAGCAGGATGAACAACACACAGCAGCAGCATAATTTTTATTCAAATAGAGAATAAGAATGTTGCGGAATTGTTGCACAAATAATGGTGCTGGCAGGGGGCGAAGGAGTGGACCGCCAAGAAGGTAAAAACAAAAATATAAAATTTGGTTTGCAGAGAGTCGAATGGGGAATGCTCTTTAAAGATATAAGAAGTGTATTTCTGGGTAATTAAAAGGTATTTCTATTTCAATAACTTCTAAGCGTTTTGATTGTTTACTCCAAAGATAAGGTGTTACAGTTTGAATGTAAAGATATTGTAGCTTAAAATTAACAATAGATTTTATATTTGATAAAATAAAAGTTTTAAAAACTTCCCTTATATGAGGTATTGTAGTCTTAATCCTAATGATTTCGCTTTAATTTTATTATTTAAAGAAACCTTATACCTTATCATGTTAATCTTGGGATTAAAAGCTCTATTTACATGTACAGAATTGTGTATTAAATTCTATAATTTATTATATTAACCCTTCAATAAGTCCCCAAAAATCATCATATTCCCGAGACAAACAAAGCCTCTGCCAAAAACTTAACAAAAAGGGAAAGGAATGGAGCCAAAAGGAGTGCAAATTAAGGGGCCCTCTGTGCTCCTCTGTGTTCTCGGGGATGGGATCTGTGTGTGGGGATTCTTGGGCTATTTTCAGACCATATCTGAATCACTCACCCTCAACCTCAGACGATCCTCTTACTCTCACTCCCTCCCACTCCTTTCTTCTGTCTCCGCGAAAATAACAATGAGCGGGGCAACCGCTGAAAAGTCTTTCACTCTCAGAACGAAACCAAAACCTCAGAAAAGTAACGCCTGGCCCAAAAAAAAATATATAAGAAAATTTTGCAATGTGAAAATTGCATGAATTAGAAAACAAAAAAGAAGAAGGAGGCTAGAAGAAGCGGCTGCCACAGGCTCCTACTGCTGCTGATGATGATGGAACTGTGGAAGGAGCTGCCAGGCAAAAAAATCCACTCAGACGAAAGTCCTTAGACTTTGCATTTCGGCAAATATAATGCACAACGGGCGGTGCAACGGCGGTGGGGTAGGCGGTGCGGTTGGGAAAATCAGGAAGTTGCCACTGCAAGATGCAGGCGCAGGAAACTGCCAGACGACGACGACGACGACGACGACGACGATGACGATGGCGACGACGACTACGGCGGCGATGGCTGACTAAGAACAATGCCGGGACACAAAAAACAAAATAAACCTGGAGAGAAAACTAAGCAAACTTGGTGATGAAAGTGCACTGAAAAAGATAAGAATTATATTTTGAAGAAATATATAAAAGGGATCTAAAGTAAACCTTTTCCAGGATTGTATAATCCTAGAAACCTTGACCCAAAAGTCCAACTAAATAATAAATCATACATATATTTCAATGCGCTCTTAAATGTTAATAATAATAATTTAAAGCATTATAAATAATTCCCCAAATTCATTAAAAAAATATATATATATTTCTCATATAAATAATCACTTTCCTTGTTCCTTTTCTCCCAGTGCCTCTGCAGAAGCAGCTACATCCAGCCTCCTAACAACAATAATACATAATTACAATAAAGAACTGCACTTTATGCGACGGCGCAACTACAACAACATCCCGTCGCGTCCCACATTGACGTGGAAAATGCAATCAGCGAAACTAAAACTAAAGGAGCTGAATGCCTCGACTGCCAAGGATCTGTGGATCACTGCACATTGCCAGTAATTTGATGGTGCTGTTTTATTGTTGAGCCCAGCGATATTATAATGGGGGAGAATGGGTATTCAGTGCATTTCTGGCAATTATTATTATGCTCGATTGCTGTTGTTGTGGAACGAAAAGCCGAGAGTAGAGAGTTCTAAATAATTTTTACGGCCCAGATTTTTTCTGACTGCGCACCAGTGCGTATACGTAATGTAAGTTGAGTGAAACGTATGCGTAATATGTACTTAAGTTGGCGTGTTATATTGTAATTGCAGTGAATAGATTTCCCGCTCTCTCTTTTTCTAGCTTTATATCTTTCTTGATCTCTGTTAGTCACTAAGAATATACATAACTCCATGTTCAACGGAACTAAGCATCCATAAAGAAGGATATCTGTGTGTCCTCACCTGCGGTAAGTCTTTATTCAAAACTATTATATCCTAGATCTAAGTCTAGAATCAGCTGTGCTTCTAATTAATCGTCTTATTGCCTTGCCTTCCATAACTCCACTTTTAAACTAATAAACCTTTAGTATTAAGAATATCAACCTCACGTATACTCAAAGTTAATAGCCTAACTTAATTATAAATTATACAAGAATATTGATTTCATACCCCTTCAAACTTAGTTTGAAAACTGACCCTGACTTTGGCGCCAACTTTTGCTACATTTTTTCCGCTAGAATAAATAATTAAGTGAAGAGGTGGAGAGGAAAACAGAGAAGAAGCCCAGTGAGAACCCGTTGACGGTTGTGCATCATTAGAGCGCTATCCTGGCGCCAGTTGACCAGACAGAGACTTCCTTTCCTCTTTCTCCACGTAGTCTCGCCTTGGCAGTTGCATCCTGTCCCGCTGCTGCTGCTGCTGCAGCCTCAACTGGCAGTCACGTCATATTGATTGAAATTTAAAATGCAAATCACTTAAAGCGTTCAATTTAATCAAATTATTACAACAACGAGCTGGAAAAGCATGGAAAAACTAGGAGAGAAAAGGGGGAAAAAGGAGAGGGGGAGACACATCAAGTGGGCAACCAGAACAGGCCACAACAACAACGCTGGGAAAACAGCGACAAGTCATTTTCCACATTTTCCGTTTGCGGTCACTCGAGGAGGCGCCGCCGAGTAGCTTTTCAAACAAAAAAAAAAGTATAGAAGGAACGGGGTTCCCGGTGGCTTGGAGAGCGGGAAGGAAACTCAGGCCACATGAGAACGTGTCTATTAAAGTGATAGCCCGGTCCGGACATGGTCACTTCTGGACATGGACATGCACTGGGGAAAATAAAGAGAAAAGCAAGTTGTGATTTGATACTTTATTTTTAATGTTAAACCTATAAATTTTGAAGAGGGAACCTTTAATTAGGTTGATAAATTCATATTAATATAGGAAACTGCATAACATATTTTGTATTGGTTTTAAAAAATGTTTATATACAAAATACAAAAGATTTCTTTAAAAATATCTCAAAAGATAAAAACATATTTACAAGGCTCAATTAAATTATATATTTCATATAAAATCTATCAACAAATTAGCATAACTTATATTTAAAAAAAAATACAATTAATTACCATTTTCCTTCATATTTTTCCTCAGTGCACTCTGTGCTAGAAAGTAAACACATTGCCCTGACATCAACAACATTGTTGCCAATGCTAATGTTGTCCAATCTAGCAAGCCCCTGCCACAGTTCCTGGACACCGTCATTGCCAAGCCCCCTCCACCCCACTCCTTCCTTCCACCAGATCGCCCCCCGCTCGTTCTTTCTGGGCGGTTGCTGTTGGCTTAATTAAATTGTGGTTGCAACTTGCGAAGCGAAGCGCGTACACAAAAATCACACACAACAACAACAGTGGCGGTTGCTACTTTATGATGGTTTTTTCTATCTGCGGTTCTGGGCCTGTGGTTCGCTTTTAATAGGCCCTTTTTAGCATTGGACACCCTATTTTTGTACATTTTCAAGCTTCTGTTTTCGAGCTCAGGTGTGGCTTGTTGTCGTAGGTTATCTGAAATGAATCTTTTTTTTGTAGCGAAACGAATTTAGAATTAGATCCTCTCTTGGCACACCTGAGATTGTTAGCTTACCTGGAATCCGGAGATATCCAAGGCCTCGGTGGCGCAGTTGGCAGCGCGTAAGTCTCATAATCTTAAGGTCGTGAGTTCGAGCCTCACCCGGGGCATGTAGTTTTTTTTTAATTTTTATTTTTTTTAATTTAAGTTTTACTAGTATTTAGTATTCCTATACAAAATCTGTTTATGTCTTGGTAAAGTAACAATTACTAAGAGAAATGCTTTGTTTGTTCTCAGTAAAATCTTTTTTCTATTTAATAACAATTACTTTTTAATTATTTTGACTTATATTTTAAATTCCTTAAATATTGTTCTGTTAAAATCGCCTTTTTATGTATTTAAAGAGCACTTCATAGTCGACTTGGCTGAACTCTAACACACGTAGTGTTGCTCTCATTATAATCTGTAAACCGCAGAAGCGCCACATTAACAACAAGAACAAAAACAGCAGCAAAAAACGTAATGATGTTTATGAACATTATGACGCTGGTCACATTATGCATAAATCTAGTAACAAAGCCAACAACAAGAAAGCCGCTAACAGCAATTAAGATAACTAGGGGAACAACATGGTTAGCGTTCACAGTCTTTTCTTTTGATATAAAATGAATAAGGAAAATATTTATGAAAGAGAATTTGAAAACGAGAATTTTAAAATAAAGATAAAGTTTAAATTCTTAATAAAAGAAAGGAATAATTCAACAGTTCAGCTGTAAAATTAAAAAGGTTACTTAACAAAGCTGAAGAATTTTAGGATTTATGTTTTATTTTTTAAGCATAAATAGTTTAATCAAATAATTATAAATTTATTAATTTATATACTATATATTTGTTATGTTTATATTTTAATTTAATGAGAAATTATTTATTTGCCATATAATTATCATTTTAAGCATTGTTAAACCTCAGTGGGTTAAACTTCCACAGAGTACTGTTTAGGTTGGTGGTTTCGACAGACAAGCAATCTGAAATTCATGAGGGAACACTTTAAGTCTTAAGCCAAATCCAGCGGGAAATGAAATGCAATTGCCAAGGACTCTCCAACACCAATAAAAGCGACGAAGGAGGAAAATTCACTGGCTCTCTCTCTCTCTCTCTCCCTCATCATTTGCAGCCCCAAAAAGCATGCAATGAAAATCGAAGCGCTGCAAAGTAGCTGCTAGCGCTGTGAAAATGCTCGTAAATTGTAGTTGCCGGCTGACAAGTTGACTCCTGGCTGGATTTTCCAAGGAACAGGGAATGCCAGGAAAGCGGGGGTAGCTGCCTGAGGATGTGCTGGATGACATTGCACTCGTCGTTGAGGCGAGTCGAGTGCAATGAAACTGCAAAACTTGCTCCGGTTGAGACGAGCCAGGAAGCAGCGTCAAGCATATGAAATTGTTTCTGTTTGTGTGGGCGTCGCGTTGCCAGCTGAACTAAGCTCCTCTCACAACTCCTTATTTCCACCTCCCCCTTTGGTAGTTTTCCCGCCTTTCCCCCTGTTCAATGTATCTTGTTTTATTGTGCATTTGTCCTTTGGCAGCCCAGCGAAGGACAAAATTCAATGAACGTTTTCCTGTCGCCTCTAAAAGCACAACAAGAAAAGGACTTCCGGTACTTTTTGGCAATCATAATCGAATAATGATTTTCAGAGGTAGAGAAATATTTTTTATAAAAATTAAATAACCGGGAATTGTATTAAATATTTAACTATTTAAATAAAGTTTGATAGCTCAAACTATAAATAACTCCTTTGTAAACTTTTCTTAGGTTGCATTAAATTAGTCATTGATCATTTAAATGAAAAAATTAAAACATTTAATGAAATTTTATAGATTTTTTTATAGATTTTTCCAAGTGCCGTTGCTTTGTCAATGAAAGAAAATCACACTCATAGACTTTTTTTTTTTGTAAATAAAAAAAATGTTGATCCTTTAAGAGTGACTCTCATAAAGTGACTTTTTATGAACCCAAAGCCACTTGAGTTCCAAACTCCAGCGGCTCCCAGTTGACCTTTCAGCGTTGGTCATTACCTGCACAGCTGCAGTTTCATTAATATTGTGTTTTTGTTGCGGCTGCCTCGAAAGAGTTTTCCTTCAGACCAATTAAGTGCTGGCTTTCCTCCATTGCTTTTCTTTCATTGTTGTTGCCGACGAGCATAAAATTCAATCAAGTTTTGTGTTGAGCCAAAAGTTACGATGCCTCAGACAAGGGCGCAGTTACCCCTTGAAATCCTCGTCGCCTCCGCACTTTTGACCCCCGCCATTGCCAGACAGACAGGACACGTTTGTCCTTACATTGTCCTCTGGACTGCCGCCGTCGCTTCAGCTGCTGCTGCTGCTGCTATTGCTGTTGCATCCCATGGATCCCTGTCTAGACTTGAGTTGGTTGTCCTCTCTCCACTGCCATGACAACCGCATGCGATTTATGCTGATGCGAGCATTTACCCCCGAACCCACACGCACCCCTCAATTAGCACCACCAAGCACTCCGCTCTCCACTCACCACTCTCCCTTCTCCGCCTCGCAAGCGTTAATATTATTAAATGCAAATTAAGCTTTATCCCATTTCATTCATTAGCGGCTGTAATTTAGCCAGCAAGAGTCCTTGTTTATTAGCACCTCGGATCGGTTGAGGTTGCAGTTTGGGGCCTGCAACTGGCAGGGATGCAAACTGATTATAAAGCAACCAAGTGCATTGCTGAATTTTAAGCACTTTTACTGAGTTTTTTACATTAAATATTTCACCTAATTAATTTTACAAAGGTATTGAATTTACTTACTTAGTGGCGGTAATTTATCTGACAGCAGTTAATATTGATTTACAAGAGAAATTGGTTAGGATTTCACTTTGAGTATGAGATATTTTGTCTTAAAAGTGTGGAATAAATAATATATATTCAACAAAGGGAAGGTTTAGAAATATATAGATCTTAAAGTTATTCGAAAATGTATACTTAAAAGTTTCTATAATGAGAAAACAAACAGATCAATTATTTAAGTATGCTTATTTAATTTTAAAAAATTAAAGAAAGCTGTGGAAACACACCATTTATATTCTCACTTTGTGCAATAAATAATATATATTCAACAAAGGGAAGGTTTAGAAATATATAGATCTTGAAGTTATTCAAAAATATATACATACAAGTTTCTATAATGAGAAAACAAACAGATAAATTTTTTAAGTATGGTTATTAAATTTTAAAAAATTAAAGAAAGCTGTGGAAACACACCATTTATATTCTCACTTTTAACTCTACAATTTGTTTAATTCCTTTTGATTACCAAAGCTATTTGCATCCCTGAATAGTCGAGGGTGAAAGGTGCAATTGAGGTGAAAATTCCCATGCGAACATGGCTTCCGTTCTTTCTTCGTTTCTTGGCTAATTTGCAAACCAATTAAATGTCAATTTGAGGCATTGTTCCTTAACCATTCTCGTGCTCCGCCGACACACACCTTCTTCTGTGGCGCGACTTCCATGTCTTTTGCAGAATAAACTTCTACCGGTTTTTTTTTCTCGCCACCGCCAAAGTTTCGCCCATTGCCTGTCTAGACTTCTTTGGCAGACTCTCACGACTTCTTCCTTTGACTCTTTGCTGCAGCCCGACTTTTCTCCGTAGTTTGCATTGCGTAGTTTGCATAACTTTTTCGCAAAACTCCCAACCCCCGTCCCGACCGTCCAACGGCTTTCAACGGCTAAGTGAGTTTTAATGCCGACAAAAGCGCCCAAGGGTGGATCCGGTGGATTCGGTGGATCCTGTGGGTTTGGGACACAAGTGTTTTCCAGCCAAATTGGCATACGTTGCGTATGCGTTATATGTGCATTTAGAGTTTGTGTACGGTTAGTTTGAATATTTCGCCCCGATTCACTCATTATTCATGTCTGTTCGCCACTTGCTTTGCATTGCGAAAACTGTCGCCCTGTCGCCCCTCGGAAAACGACACACAACACACGCCCCCTCAACCGCAGCCAGGCATCCAGTCAGTCAGTCAGTCGCTTGGTTATGGTCAGGATCGGGAAAAAGTTACCAAACGGAAGGGATGGCATGGCCAGGCGCTGTTCCTCCTGGCCGAAAAATCTGTGTGCAAATAAAGAAAAAACAAAAGTCCGACAAAAAAATTGCACAGTGCAATGCACATGACAAGATGGAAAATTTGGAGTCCTGTCAAAGTCGAAGTGGGAATGCTCTTAATATAACATTTAAAATCTACGGTAAAATATTATTGTTTAAAGAATATCTTGGTTTAATTTTTATTCACGCTTGGAAAACGTAAGCAATTAAGGCGGAAAAATATTAAAGTTTCGCTAATTTCTTTAAAGGATTCGATTTTAAATTTATAAATTTCGATAGCTTTTCAGATCTATTTAAAAAACCTTTTTCTAAATGGGAGAATTCTAAACCCTAATTAAAATTTTCCTTTTTTATATTAATTATATTATTATATTATTTATTAAATATTCTACATTAAAACCCTAAATAATTATAGGTTTTCAATCCTTCGTTATGATCTACAAAAACTACTTTTTGACTTTAAGTCTACTATTTTATACTTAAAATAAAATAAATAATGATATCTACTATTATCCTACATAGCCTGGGATCCCTTTTAATCCCTTCCAAATATTCCTAAGCGTTGTTTTCAAATACTATAAATCTATTATAATTCCTGCGATGTGGCAATCCATCAGATGCAAAAGTTATTCGCTGCGAATGCAAAGTTTTAATCACCTTTCTGATCCGAGAGTGGTCATGACCCAGCCCGGGTAAAAGCCTCTGCTGGCATTCGAATATGGCTGCAGGATACTTTTTTGTCCGCCCGCTGCCTGCCGCCCACGTGGGCCCACAATTGGTGGAGCAGCAGCAGCGGCAGACCCAGCCGGGCAATGAGTTTTTGAGCTAAAAGTTGAATTGTGCATCGACGGCACCCCCAGGGGCCACTCCCCCTTGAAAGCCGCCTTCTCTCTCCGTGTGTGTGTGCGTGTGTTTTCGACTGTCTGTGTGGTATGCACTTGTCTAGACATTGGCTAGACAGTGTAAAACCAAAAAATAACAGCAACAACAATTACAGTAAATGCCGGCGACACAAAACGAAACGAAACGAAATGTTGCACAATCCACGTAGAGACCAGACCCCTTGGAAAAAATCAAGGGGGAGGGAGAGGGGAAAGCAGGAGGAGGCATTGTCGTCGTCAACGCTGGCGGAGACAAATTTTTGGCAATACATTTGACAAATTTCCCTGCGAATGCTGCCGAGTGCGAGCCGCGGGCCTTGCAACAATCCATCCATCCACATCCAAACACCACTCCACCTTTGTTTTCTACTTTTGATTTTATTTGGTAACTAAGTGGAAACTACTGGGTAAACCTAAGCAAAGGCCCTCCATTCATCCATCCGCCAGAAATTCCATCCTCATCCTGTTTACGAGGCACCAAACTTCTTCCGCTGGTACGGCGGCGGCAGCGGAGCCAACAGATTGTTTGTTGAAATGCTGACGTTGACAAGTTCGTTAGAGCTCAGCCGGGACACGTGCACCAGGTGCTGCAAGCAAAAAGGAAGCGAATATACAGGTGAGAAATCCGTTGCAAGAAATGGCTAAAATCGTTTGAATTAATGCATGCACAAGGGGATGAAGGAAGTTGGGAAATGGTATGCAATACGTAGAGCCTATTTTATGTTTGCTTTAGGGGGGTTGACCCATGTGATGTTTAGTTTAGACTAGTTAACTGTTAACTGTTATAAAAATTAAATTGCTAAGTCTTAAGCGCTTTTCACGCAACATTTTTCAAAAACCGGCCTTCAGATGGGTCAATCCCCTTAAATAATTACATTAAAAACTTCAAATTTGATCTCACCTGTCGTGACAATTCCGACTTCAGAACCAAACCCTTCGAACTCGTAGAACCCTTAGATCGATTATCCTTTGATTGCCTCTTGGCCTTACTATTGACTTCGTAGTCCTCCTGCTCCGCTTGCTGATTCCTCTCCAGGGCATACAAGTTGTTTTCGGTGTGGACAAGAAAGATATTGGGATTCCTGGGATCCAAACTGATCCCAGTTATGCAGTGGTGTTTTGTGTCAGGTATCAGGTACTCATCCGTTTCGCAGGTGAAGCCTCGCTTTACCAGATCGTATTCCACCAGGCGACCATTGGCGTAGGCCACCACAACCTGTGGATGATCCTCGTGCATCGACAGAGCGGTTGTTGCAGCTCGATGCCGCGGCAAATTTAAAAGGTGCTTGTACTGATTTCCGTGGAGTTTCCAAACGGCAACGGTGTGATCGGAGGTTCCTGCCACCAGATACTCGCCCCGCGAGGAAACCACCAGGTGGCTAATGGTGCCCTTGCAATGGTCACTCAGATCTATGCTGCTCTGGAAGATGACGCGATCCTCCTTCAGGGTAAACCAACTCAGATGGTTGTTATGGGGATGAAGCAGGGCCAATTTTCCCTGTTTGGTGAAGACTATGTGGCTGGCTGGCTGGAGTTCCGCGGGAATATTGTCCACCAGGCGATCCACCGACAGGGGTTCGGTCTTGAAACGACTTAGACGGACTTCCTTTAAGGTGGAGTAGCAGATCCAGTGAGCATCCGGAGAAATGGCGCTGGCCTGAATAAAGTTCTTCTCCTTGACGTTCAGTTCAAGTAGTTTCTGGGGAGGATTTTCCAAAAGCAACTCTTCCGTGTGACCCACTGGCAGCTTCCATTGCCTCTTCTTCTTCTCCTCGTCAGCGGGGGCCACAGTACCAAGGCGCCACAGGTGCAGGCTGTGGGGATACCGCAGGAGCAATAGCTTTTCACTGACCGCCACCGAGGTTACCGATCCTTTGAGGAAGGGGGCATGCTGCGACAGATGCGCCTGCATCCTTTCGCTGGAGGTAATGGTCAATATACCATCCTGGCCACCGGAGACAATGCGGCCATTGATGACCACCAGGGACTTTATATAGTGTTTGTGGGCGTCGCGCTGCAGAAACTTGACCCAGCGTTCGCAAGTGGATTCCTCACGCTTGATTTGGGTTTTGCTGAAAATCCGTATTAGAGGTGGATGCATTCCGCTGCAAACCAGGCGATCCTCCTTCTCGTTAACGTCCAAGGCGAATACGTTTTTGTCCAGCACTCGGCTGCAATCGATCTGCGTGGCATTGTCCGCATTCCAAACGGTCACAAGTCCTGCCGAGTCGCCGGATACGATGGTATTATCCGATAGGAATAGCAAGGACCATACAGTCACATCCTTGGCCGACAGAGTCATTGTGTGCAGAATGTTTCCCTTGAGGACGTTCCAAATGCGGACACATCCCTCGGTGCCGGTTACCATCTTCTTTCCCGATTTGTCATACTTCAGGCAGATGACGCGACCCTTCTGCTTGTTGAACAGCGACTTGTAGGTGAGTTCGTCGTTCTCGATGCTCAGGATGTTGATGTGACCCTCCTCAGAGCCCACGGCGAGTTCCGTTTCCGCGGCATTTATGTCTAGGCACCAGAGTGAGTTGCCCGTGGGCGAGTGCTCGTAGCGTGGCTTGAGGTTTACCAAGTCCCATTCTATCAGTTGGCCCGAGAGATCCACGGAAAACAGGCGATTTCCCGCCCAAGCTAGGGCTTCCACTGCAACATCTGAAGAGAGGTGAATGGTGCGATCCAGATAAGGAGTGTACTCCATATTCCATAGCTCTATGACGGGTGTTTCCCTGGAAGGTGCAATCTCTGATTAATACCCTGTACTTTTCTTACTTCCTTTAAATTGAATGATAATTTACCGACTCAACGCGAGGCACTTGCTCGACTTGCTGTATGCCAAACTGGTAATACCACGCGGTTTTATTGTGTAGAAGCGCACATTGTGCAGTTGATGCTTGCCCCCTTCTTGGGGTTCTTTTTTCACAAGGTTCGTCATTGTATTAAATTATAACAATTAGTTTAATCTAGTCAAAACAACTAAAACAAAATTCCTCGAAAGCTGCACGTGTGTGCTGAGGAGTTGCCAGACTGTTTGATTCACGAGGTAAACAAACCACTAAGGCTGCCACTTGGTAGAACATATACTAGATTTAACTCTTGTGTAGCTGCTGAAGAACATGGACAAATAATAATAAGATCTGAAATTTTAAACGGGAGCTTAGGTATATTGAAAATTTAAAGAATTTTCTATCCAAAAAAGTCTATTTAAACTAATTAGTAAGTTAGAAAACTGTTGTGTTTAGGGTTAAGGATTCCCTTATCTCCCAGCATTTTTTATCCTCCCGCATCTGGCCACTCTAAATCGGCGGGGGTGGTTTTCGCAAATGTTTTCTTTTGTTGTTGCTGCGGCCCGTAAGAAAATAATTTCCAGCTGAAAATTAAACCAATCAGCTAATTAAATTACGTGAAAAACAAGAAGCACACATTAAGCATGATATAGTAAAAGTAGGAGCAGGGAACTAAACACTTGGAAGTACAAAGAAAATCAGCAGCAATCTGCAAAGATGTCGCCAAACTGCCTGTGGACTTGGGGCCTCCTGAGTGGTAAATAAATTAGTAGACAAAATTGAATTTAATATTTAATCCAATACACGATCGATAGCTCTCCTTGTGACCTTCGGCTCGGCGGCCATTTCGTCGAGGGTTCTGGAGCTGAGCGACCGGTTCATTGACGTGCGACACGAGGGTCAGTGGCTGGTGATGTTCTATGCGCCGTGGTGCGGATACTGCAAGAAAACGGAGCCCATTTTCGCCCTGGTGGCCCAGGCGCTTCATGCCACCAATGTGCGGGTGGGTCGGCTGGACTGCACCAAGTATCCGGCGGCTGCCAAGGAGTTTAAGGTGTGAATTGGAACACATTTTTTTTTATAAATATAAAAACTAATAAGAAGTGTCACAGGTTCGCGGCTATCCCACCATCATGTTCATCAAAGGCAACATGGAATTCACCTACAATGGAGACCGCGGTCGTGATGAGCTGGTGGACTATGCTCTAAGGATGTCCGGTCCTCCGGTTCAGCTGGTAACGCGAACGGAGAGCGTAGATATGCTGAAAGGATCCCACACGATCTTCTTCATCTTTGTGGGCCAGCAGGAGGGCGTGGTATGGGATACGTACTATGCGGCGGCGGAGGGCTACCAGGAGCACGGATTCTTCTATGCCACCAGCGAGGACATTGCTGCCCAGCACTTTGACTTTGAGAAACTGCCGGCGGTTATAGTTTACAAGGAGGAGCAGCACCACTTCTATCCCCACGGGCACTTGGCCCACGAAATGGATCCCAATGACGTGAACGAGACCATTTTCCAGTGGGTGAATGTGGAGCGATTCACCCTGTTCCCGAAGGTCACGCGATTCAATATCCATCAGCTTCTGAAGACCAACAAGTATCTGGTTCTGGCAGTGGTGTCGGAGGATAAACTAAACCAGATAGCCACCCATGAGCTGGAGTTCCGGGACATGGTAGAGGGTGTGATTAGGAAGCATCGGCCGCGTTACCACGAGAAGTTCCAATTCGGATGGGTAAGGGTAATCACTGGTTTATCGGGGACTACTAAATCTAAGCTTGTATCCCATTTTTAGATTGGTGAACCATCTATAGCACATTCCATTATTCTGGACCAACTGCCCACGCCGCATCTGATAGCAATTAACTCGAGCACCCAGCATCACTTCATTCCGGACGATGACCCCATGCAGATGACCCCGCAGGCCCTGCATCTGTTCCTGGAGTCCATAAGCAACGAGAGTGCGGTTGCCTACGGCGGAGACACATACTTTGTACGCCTGAATCGGGCGCTGTTCGAGGTTCGAAGATCCCTAAAGGACATGTGGCAGGGCAACCCAGTGCTGACCACAGTCATCTTTGGCCTGCCACTGGGATTCCTTTCGCTGATTATGTACTCGATATTCTGTGGCGATTGTTTGGTCACCGAGGAAGACCAAGACGAGGACCACGAGAAGAAGGAGTAAGTGCAGTTCTAATATTAGCCGATGATTTCCAAATGAGTAATGGAAAGGCGACCTAAAAATGCATTTTGGAGATCTCCAAATTTTTACGAACAAAGATTAAAACCAAGAGAAGTAGAAAAACGAAAAAGGAAACCAATAAGGAGCATTAGCAGACCCCAGTTTGATCCCCTAGAGCAACTTTTCTACCGCATATATAGTGATTGTAAGCCAAATCTAGTCCTATGTCAACTCATCTCATCTACGCTGGGCGAGAACTTCCACATCATCCGCTTTAATATCCCGGCATTTGACACAAAGAAATCGAATTGCATGTTCTTTTTTTTCTCGTTTTTAAGTTAGTAAAATTAATAAAAATGATTAAGCGGATGCGTAGAACAGAGGGAACTTAAATTAGGAGCCGCATCATCGGGATCCGAGATCAGCAGCCGTAGTCGTCGTCGTCGTCGCTATCGATGGCAGCCCTGCGGCGATCGTACTTCACGGTGGACTTGCTCTGCGGCATCTGGGCATTGACGCTCTCGAGGATGCTCACGAACTGGGCGTCGTCAAGTTTTCCACGCACCTGACCCATCTGAGCCATGCGAATGACCATGTTCTCGAACATTTGGGCCTTCTCCGGTTTGCTCACTTTGAGGGTGTTCACTGGAAAGGAAGGAATAAGAATTTAGAGATATTTTGAATAATTGTGATTCGCTTAAGGCACTTACGACGTGCCCTGGCCTGCTGATCCAAAACTTGCGACAGTATCGAATGCTTCATCTCCTCCTGGGCGCGCATCTGTTCCTGCTGTGCCTGCTGCTTTTCCGCATCATTTCCGCCGCCGCCCTAAAAAAAAAACACCAAAGGATTAAAGGTCACTGAAGGATATGGCCTAAAAGGAACAGGTGTCTCATAGCAAGATGACTCATAAGACTTCAGAGATGAAGCCAGGAATGGTTTTAACATAAACTACACCTTGTGTTACATATTTCAGGTATATTTCTTACTTTTCTTTTTGTGCAAAGCTATTTTCCACACCTTATTGTCCAGGTTGTGGTTATTTTTGGAATACTCTAGAGAAATCTTAGCCGGTTTGGAGTCCTCCGGTTGGCTTTACTTACGAATTGCGACTGCATTTGGGACATGCGCTGGGCGCGTAAGGCATCCAAATCACCATCCGACATTCTGAACTTTTAATTTCAACAGTTCTATGGCAGTTTATTAAGCAATTGTTGACTTTTATGTGATTACAAAAATAAAATCACGCAAAAAGTGTGCTGTTTGACACAGTGTGACCGTGCTGGCCTAGAGCTAAATACCGAAACTCACAAATGCGTTCTAGAAGGCCTGGTCACTCAATTTTCCTTGAAGAAGAAGAAGAAGAAATCAGAGAGAAAGAAAATATCACCGCAGGCGAAATAAACAAAAGAATTAATAGATAAAAAGACAGTTAACTAGCTTAAAATGTCTGCTCCACTGGAAAACCTGGAGACGCAGCTGGAGATGTTCATCGAGAATGTGCGTCAGATTCGGATCATAGTCAGCGACTTTCAGCCCCAGGGACAGAACGTTCTCAACCAAAAGATGTAAAAAACTAGATAAATAATAGCTTTCTTTAACTATTATTAATATACAACGTTTGTACGTTGCAGCAATAGCTTGGTAACCGGTCTCCAGGAGATTGACAAGCTCCGTTCTCAGGTTCAGGACGTTTATGTGCCCTTTGAAGTGTTCTTTGACTACATCGACCAGGACAAGAATCCCCAGCTTTACACCAAGGACTGCGTGGAGAAGGCACTGGCTAAGAACGAAGAGGTCAAGGGCAAGATCGAAAGCCTCAAGAAGTTCAAGTCCAATCTGCTCATCGAACTGTACAAGACCTTTCCCAACGAGATGAACAGCTATCGCGCCTACAGAAAGGACTCGATGTGAGGCAGGGACAGCCCTCCTACAACCTAGTTTTTAATCAAATGTTGGAATAAACTTTATACTTATGTACATAAGATCGGGTGTATCTATCAAATCCATTTAATTTATTCACATTTAAGAAAAGAAGTCTACAATTTATTGTTAAATGCAGAGTCCAGCCGGCAGGACGATTCGATCATCACGCCTCCTTCTGCTCGTAGCCCTCCGTCTTCATATCGTTAAGGCCAAGCTCTTCGTTGTCCTCGAAGGTGCGATCATAACGCTCCACGGTGAGCTTGTCGTCCGGCTCAGAGTCGTCGTCGCTGAGTGACTGCACATAGGTGTTACCGGCCGGATCCTCCAGGACCAGCGTTATAACCCTCTCCAGCTTCATGATATCATCGAAAGTGTTGAGGAATCGCTCCATCTGCTGCTTGGTCGTTTCATCCGCCGAGTCGTGGAAGAAAGTGCCGTCCAACTGATCCCTCATGGCCACCAGAAGGCCCTCCACGGTGGTGAAGCGTCCACACAACGCATGCGGACCCACTTCCAAGTCCAGTTCGGGAATGGATAAGCTGCACGTCTCCGACTTGAGCACATCTCTGGTTAGATCCTCCTTGGTGGTTATCTGCACCTTGAAACGCACACCCTGCGGCTCAACGCCGCCGCCAGACTTCACCTCGTTGGTCTTGTGCCCGCAAGTTCCGCACACGGTGGCCATGATTACCACCTCCTTGAAGTGCGGAATGTTCGTTAGCTTCATGTTCGTCTCGCAGGGCGCCTGGCAGTTGGGGCAATTGGTGGGGAACTGCAGCACCTCGCCGTGCAGGTTTTCGATGGGCCACTCGTCCTCGGCGATCGGTTTCAGCAAGTGCTGCTCCTCGTGGTTCTGCTCGTACAGCCCCAGTTGTTCATTTTGCTGCTGGGAGCGTGTAAAGTACGTGGTTTTCAGCTGCGGATCGGTGGCGGGCGCCAAAGGATTCTCAATGAAGCTGTTGCCTGAGATGTCCTCCAGTAGCAGCCGAAAGGGCGTGGTCACCTCCTTCAGTTTTTGCAGCCGCTCGACGTAGGCGTCTATGGAGGCAGCCGCCTCCGGGTGATCAATGCGCCTCTTCTCCTGATCCTGCGAGAGTCCGGCAATAGTCCGCTCGATAATACCCTCCACGGTGGTCACCTCGCCCTTCTGTGACTGCACCGGGATCTCCAGCTCCACCTCGGGTATGCTAACGCACGAGTTGTCTGACCGCACCACCCGCCGGTTGAGATCCGCCACGGACTTCACCTGCAGCTCTATGTTGATGCCGGACTTTTGTATCTCGGAGGCGGACTGCATCTCGTTGTTGGTGTGGCCACAGTGCTCGCATCGGAAGGACATCAGCACCACCTCCCGGAAGAAGGGTATCTTCGTGGGCAGCAGCCGGGTGGTGCCCGTCTGGAAGCAGGCCATGCAGGCGGACTCGATCTCCACCACCTCGTCGGTCTGTTGGGCGTTGATCTCCCGGAAGATGGGCTCCGGGCGCGCCGTCTCGCCTCCCTCCGGTATGCTGGCGGCCGTGCTGGACATGTCTTGGTAGTTACACTCCCAGATAAAAAAAATAAAATTTGTTAAGTACTCGCAACGTGCAAGCAGAAGTGTTGACAAACGACCGATGACTAGTAGAGTCGGCTTTTTCTGAATACAACAAAGTTACTTTTTTATTCTTGGTTTCTTGTAAATTAATATTTGGTTTAAAATTAAATGGATATTTAAAATGTTCTTCTATTTTATTTTAGGAGTAATACATATTTTTTATTTATTACTTTTTTTTCAGACTTTATTTTACAGCTTCCCAACACTACCAACAGCTGTTTTTTGTTATTGTTAGGCTTGTGTAATTTTTGAAAATTTTATTTAATAAGTGTCGGATATGCGGGCTGTAATTAATGGTTTAAGAAGTGTTGTGAGGACAACAAATTATGCACCAAATGGAAGAAATATTCTTAGGCAAAATGAATGCATTCTGCGACCGCAAATTCGACTATTTGCGGCAAAGTCCTCGCCGGCTTGCTGGAATTGCCAAAATAAGTCGGAACTGAGGCAAAATATGATCTGTTCGGATTGTGGACACCTGCAGGATGTGGATGCGGGAATAGTAAGTAGCTATCCCACATCCATTGTTTAAATTTAACCATTAATTTCAATAGAATTACTTTGAGCTGCTGAGCTTTCCCACAAAGTTTTCGTTGGAGCCGCAGAAGTTGACCCAAAGTTTCCGGCAATTGCAGACCATTGTGCATCCAGATAAATATAGCAATAAGTAAGTTAACTATTCAAAAACAAATTACATAAAAGGTATTTATAACTATCCTTAAATTTGCAGAACTTCCCGTGAACAAACCAACTCCGCTGACTGGAGTTCCCTGATAAACAAGGCCTACAAGACCCTCGCCACTCCAATCGAACGTGGCCAATACCTGCTGCAGTTGGAGGGCGAAACGATGCCACAGGATAATAGTGCCCTGAATAAGGAATTCCTCATGGCCATGATGGAGCGCAATGAGGAAGTAGAGGAGGCAGAAGACGCAAAGTCTCTGGAGGATCTTAATGCCCAGCTTGTCAAGGAACTGGAGGAAATGGCCCAAAGATTAAGCTCTCTATTCGAAGCAAAAGATCTCCAGGGAGTCAAAGGAACTCTGGTGGAGATGAAGTACCTGCTGAGCATTCAGAGCAGCATCAAGCAGAAGCAGCAACGTTTGCTGGGCAGCTGATCGTTGTTAGCAATCAACTTGGCTTAAATACTCACACAAGTTAACTTGTTCCTATCAGCTGTTGAGTCAAGAGATCGTTTGTTGTATAATGTGATTAAAATGCGACAAAAAAAGAGTCAGTGCAAATGATAAATAATCAATTTTTAAAATTAACAAAACCTTTTTTAATCTAGGCTTCAATGGAAGCAAAGAGTTCTTCCCCTTTTGCTTCCAGTGGAAAAAGTAATAAAACTAAAAATTAAATTGGACTTCAAGTGTCAAGGTGGGGAACCCATTGAATAACCTATAACCACTACATTGCCAATCTGTTCGTATAAAGCTAAAGTGCTCGCAGCTTGACTAAACAGTTTCTGCTCACAGCTGCCTTAGGTTGGATTCAGGTGTGCATAAGCCCCGATCTGTGGCTAAAGAAAACCTCTAGAGGCGGGAATACTGTTGCACAAATTGCACAAATTATAAGAAAATTATTCCCGAGCAATTGAAATTCCTAAAACGCTGAGAAAACCTCTAACAAACTAAGCAAAAGTTAAATATACAATATTGTTTAAAAATAAGTTTTTCCTTCAAAAGGTTACAAACCTGTTGCCAAAATTATAGTACCCTGCCAAAGTAAATATTTAAAAACAATTTACCGAAGCCGTAAATAATTAACTTAGGAATTCAATCTCGATAAGAACATAACTGGTGACAAGGAAAGCCCATTTATGTAAGAATGAAATCATTTTTTCTTTAAATCATAAAGAGGCAACCTTTTTGTCTGAGAATATATATTATGCTTTAATTGTTTATTACCTGTGATTACGGAAAATGAGTCACCTACTGTGTTATTTATACTAAATATCACCTCTAAGCTACTTCAAACGGTTAAAAATTACCTAAAACCTTAAATATAAATTTAAAAAAAAAGTAGGTAAATCTCTGTATAAGTTTAAGTTATAAAAAAAGAGTCTCCAGGAACTGCCATCAGAATGCAGAAGATCTCGATCAGCCTGCTGATATTCTTCGGTTTGGTGCTGAGTGCCTCGGCTGAGATCTCATCGCCCATTATCGGTGTTCTCACCCAGGAAGTCCGCCACAATGGATTGATCATGCGGCACTTCCCCAATAAGACCAGCTTTATAGCCGCCTCGTATGTGAAGTATCTGGAAGGAGGTGGAGCTCGAGTCGTGCCTATTTGGTGAGCAGGCAGCAGAGTTGATCTTTATATTATTTTACATTAAATTACCAATTAATATTCCCTTCATAGGATCGGTCGCAATCGCAGCTACTATGAAGATCTCATGCTCAAGATAAATGGGTGAGTGCATAAAAAAGCCCAAATAGGCTCCCAGACTTTAAATTTCTTAATATTTGCACAGTGTTTTGCTGCCTGGTGGTTCCAATTGGTTCAATCAGAGCCACGGGTACGCCGAGGCAGGTGAACATCTCATCCAACTGGCGGTGGAACTGAACGATAAGGGAACCTTTATGCCCCTTTGGGGCACTTGCCTGGGAATGGAGTTATTGGTTTACAAGTTGGCCCAAAACAAAGATCATAGGATTGATTGTAATGGAAAGAATATAACCCTGCCAGTGGAGTTTAAAGAAGGTATTTAAAAGGATATAATGCGCGCTATCAGATAAATATTTTATATTTCTTTCCATGCAGGTTACAGAAAGAGCCGCCTCTTTGCCTCCATCAGTGAAGATGTGGCATTGGCTATGACCACAGAAAATGTGACCTCTCATTGGCATCGCTTTTGCTACACAGAGCAGGACTTTGCGAAGGATCCCTTAACCCAGATTTGGCGTGTTTTATCCCTGAATCATGACGTGCATGGCACCGAGTTTATTTCTACCATCGAGCACATTAAGTACCCCTTCTATGGGGTTCAATTTCATCCTGAGAAGCCGCAATATGAGTTCACCAAGCCAAGTATTCCCCACACTGCAGCTGCAATTATAACTAGCCAATTCTTTGCCGATTTCTTTGTGAGTGAGGCCAGGAAAAGTAATCAGAGCTTTGCCAATGCCACGGAGCAGGCCACGAGGTTGATCTACAACTATAAGCCAGAGTACACTTCGATTCTGAGATCCATTTACACTCAGCAATATCTGTTTAGCAATGAGGAAATGGGACAAGAGTCCTTTGTGAATTAAATTTCTTGCTAAATCCTAAACTAATAAACTAAAGTCAAAGCTGGGAAACTGCAACATAAACTCCAGTGGAGATAAAGTATCTCTTAAGCTTCTGAGCAGCAAAAAGCTATGTTTACTGGGTAGCTGATAATTTTTAATAATCGATACGCCAATCGTTTCCAATCACTCACACAAGTTAAGCCGTTCCTACTTATCAGCTGTGTTAGGTCAATAAAAACAAACAAAACAGTTTGTCTATTAATATGCATTAAAAGCAACAATATTTGGTGCAATTAGTCACTGATCAATTAGTGAAATATCCATAACTGAACTTTAACCAGACTTAAATTAATGTAAAGATAGTTTTTCCCCTGCCACGGTCAACACTTCGAACTTAATATAATCAATTAATCGCGGTACTATCTAGTGGACTCAAGTTGCCGGGGGGAGACCCATTGAAGAACCCATAACCCATACATCGTCATACCGCTAACTCATACCCACGAATACCGAGGCATTCACATTCTATATTCCACTTCGTATAAATGGAAACTGCTCGACGCTCCAGCGGGCAGTTTCGGTTAGCAGCTGACACTACTTGGATTCAGCTGAGGAGCACTTCTGGAGAAGGGAATACACCGGGGTATGTGCATTAATATTAAGAAAAATAATTTCACAGAAAGCTAAGCAGGAGGTTTGGGAGAGAGGAAATAATTTAAGTAAAGCAAACCCCTACGAAATACCTTTGCGATTAACAGCTGCAGCTAACTAAATTTATTATAATTCCCATAGGAATTCGAACAATTCTAAAGAAAAGGAAAACCTATAATTACACTTAATATTTGAAAGAAATATATATATAGGTTTACTAATCAGAAAGTTTAAAAGTAAATATTACAGGCGTAGTATTATAAATTGTTATTACCTAAAAGTACTTAAAATGCACGTATTATATTTGCAACGAACAAGCTTTTAAATATCCCCTTTAAATATATTTTTAAAAAGTTATATATACACAAAGAAAAAGTCAAGATATGTTTTTTTTTTTCCAAGATAAAATTCATAAAAATAACAATGGAATAAAATAGGAGATGATAGGCGTCAGCTAATCGCTGTTATAATGAACTTTCCAGATAAATACAAGCTCCCACAAGAATGCAGAAGATCTCGATCAGCTTGCTGATCCTCATCGGATCCCTGCTGAGTGCCTCGGCGGACATCTCATCGCCCGTCATAGGAGTTCTCACTCAGGAAGTCTACTTGGATGGATTGATCTCCCGACACTTCGAGAACAAGACCAGCTACATAGCTGCCTCCTATGTGAAGTATCTGGAAGGAGCTGGAGCCCGAGTGTTGCCAATTTGGTGAGTACGCAGACAGATAAAGATATCTGTCCACCTAGAGATTAAAAGATGTTATCGCTACTACGGCAGGCATCATTTCATGAAGACTAGATAAGATTGACGGTCATTAAGAAATCAACAATAAGCAAATAATTTGATTTAGTGGCCCAATAATATTACGAACTCTCGATAAGATTGCTCGAAAGCAATTAATAAACCATCTTAAATACCCCTCGTCAGGATCGGGCGCAATCGCAGCTACTATGAAGATGTCATGCACAAGATAAATGGGTGAGTAAGGGCATCTAGGAATTTCCCAGATTTTAAATTTAAATTTTAATTTATGGATGCTTTCATAGTGTCTTACTGCCCGGTGGTGCCACTTGGTTCAATGAGACCAATGGCTATGGCGACGCGGGCGAACATCTCATCCAGTTGGCTGTGGAACTAAACGATCAGGGTACCTACATGCCGGTTTGGGGCACTTGTCTGGGAATGGAGCTATTGGTTTTCAAGTTGGCCAAGGGCAAGGAACATCGTATCGATTGCGCTGGAAAGGGCATTGCCCTGCCAGTGGAGTTCAAAGAAGGTATGATTCAATATCGATTAGCTAAATGAATATTCATAAACCTTTCCCTCGCAGATTACAACACGAGTCGGCTGTTCACCTCCATCAGTGACGATGTAGTAGCTGCTATGGTCAAGGAGAATGTGACCTATCACTGGCATCAGTTTTGCTATACGGAGAAGGACTTTGAAGAGGATCTTTTGAATGAGACATGGCGAGTTATATCCCTGAATCATGATTGGAATGGCATCGAGTTTATTTCTACCATCGAGCACGTCAAGTACCCCTTCTATGGAGTTCAGTTTCACCCAGAGAAGCCGCTCTACGAGTTCACCAAGACGAGTATTCCACACACCGCTGCTTCCATCGTAGCTGGCCAATACTTTTCGGATTTTCTTGTGAGTGAGGCGAGGAAGAGTAACCAGAGCTTCACCAATGCCACGGAGCAGGCCTTGAGGTTGATCTATAACTACAAACCGGAGTACACCTCGATCTTGGGATCTACTTACACCCAGCAATATTTGTTCACCAAGAAGGAAATGGGCTTGGAGGAGATTCCTGACATTCCTGACGAGGGCGGCGATGGTGACGGAGATGGCAACGGTGGACTATATCCGTATCCCATTATTGTAGACGGCGGAGGTGGAAGCTCTACAATACTACCCCTTTTCAGTGGGTTCCTCCTCACATTGGTGATTATATCAATTAACTGATTGCCAGCCATGTTTATTTCGGGAATGAACCTTGGTCAGGGATTATCATATCTCGGAATTACATTTCCATTTTTTTTTTTACCAACGAAACAAGACTTAATCAATATATGTACATATGTAGATAGAAAAATTTATCTAGAAATACTTGTTCGTTTTATTGTTTATTGATTTAAGCTTTTTCCGATTGATTACATACCGCTATCTTTTTTTTATTCTCTACGTCACAGAGAAATATTAAAATGTATTGTGTTTGTTGCCATGGGTGATTCAATTAAAATAATTATGATTCAGAATTGGCATTCATATATTTGTGGTAACAGAAGCTTATTTGATAAGCCACTATCTAAAATCGGTAGCTACGTTTACTTGATTTTGTTCTTACCGGTGGTATTATAAACGTCTTAAAATATTTTGTACATCTTTAGGAAATATATACCACTACATAATTACTAAATAAATATTTTAGAAAGACATTTCATCGTTGTGGTTCGTCCTGACATCTATCGTCGTTACTCGGATGCTTGCCTCTCATCATCACTTTAGTAGACATCTCTCGTTATCTCATTAGTAGTCACCTCTCGTCCTTCCTATACTCGCGATCGTTTTTGCTACTCGCAAAAGCCTCTGAATCTTATATTGGCTAATGCTGCTCTCTTTAACTCGTCCAAATATAGCGTGTATATGCGCCCTGTTATACAACAAATAAGAAAAGTGTATGTACATGTATACTGCGCATTCTCTGTCTTTTAATTTCAGTGCCAAGTATTTCTCTGACGAGCTACTATAGTGTTCTTGGTTTACATTATTTTATAGAGTCCAAATTTACCCAGTATCCCCGAAAGTAGGTAATACTTGGTTTTACAGCGCCCTTTCACTGCTCATCTTATGCAAACCTTGCACCGGGTGCAGTCTTCGTTTCTTTACGTTTAGTTTGCTTTTGTACGGCACTAGCCGAAGTCGGAAATACAAAAAACGGAAGACAACGATGTCAGAGGGCGCATGTGCCAGTGGGCCGCCACCCCCTCTCGGCCAGACCCCAACCATTGGCGTCATGTGCATCGATATTGCCACGATGTTGCAGAAGCATTTTGGGGCAGAATACCATAGTTATCTGGCGGCATCCTATATCAAGTATTTGGAAGCATCCGGGGCTCATGTTGTGCCTGTGTGGTTAGTATAAACTCTTTTTTGTTAAAGAATACTGCTTGAAACACTTTTATTTTATAAAAGCATGAATAGGTTATTTTTCTTATCAATATTAATTTTTATCTTCTTTAAGAGACACTTAGATTTATTTATACCAGTTAAATTTATATTTCTAATTTAGCTTGAAAATGAAAACATATTTCTATAAATAAATATTGTTTTGATCTCTTTTTAAAAGTTTTAATACAAGATAACTCTTAGATTGTGTCACTATCTGCTTCTATAGATAAAAAGTATATAATTTTAGATAAGCTAATGTCGTAAGAAAGGAACTAATATCTGTGCTTGTAACTGTAGTCACGATATTTAGCTAACAAACCAAAAAAGAAGAGAATATCCGACTAAATAAATAATCTATTTACATTAGAAATGAAAAAGAATTGATCGTTTCGATGATATAATATGAAAAAAAATCATTGATTATAAATTATGCACGCGGCATGATTCATTTCATTGTCAAAATACATTTTGTCACGTAGTATGTAGTTGCCTTTGTGTTGTTGTTCAAATTAATAGGATAGCCTAGGATGCTGAAAAGCATGTTTACCCCTTGTATTGGCATCATGTGCACCGATATCGCCAAACTTTTGAGTAATGCCTATGGCCATCAGTGGTGCTGCTATTTGGCAGCTTCCTATGTAAAGCATTTGGAGGCCGCGGGTGCAATGGCAGTTCCCATCTGGTAAGTGGCGATCGGCGATCGGTAGTGAAAAGATAAACAAATTGCATAAACAAAGAAAAGAAAAGCAGAATGCAAAAGTGGAAAGATAAAACAATTAATTATTTTACTGGGCATTGTGCCAAGTGTTTTGCTGCGAATGCAATTAAAGAATGGGGCGGTAAAGCGCTCATTTGTAGTTATTTATTATGGTCGGTGGGTGCTCTGGCTTTCGCTTTCATTTAAAGACTAATGATGCAAATAAGAAATGCATATTCAGCTGAGTGGGTGTAGTATATAAATTCGTTATTTTATAATATACAAAGCTTATCATTAGCGACTATTTATAGAGATTGCTTTGGTTTTCGATTTCATCTGATGTTTGAAAGTGTGAATATGGAATAGAGATTAATCTCAGGGGGTTTATTACAAAAAAAGTATAATTTATAATATTTGAGGGATAGGTTTGCTCCTTTTTTAAGGTGGATATAATAAGAGAAGAGGATTTTCAAAGCTAGATTTCATAAATTCACAGACAGGAATGGATATTCTCTTCTCATTATTATAATTATTTTTAATAATATCCGGAAAATCCATAGACCCATCAATAAATAAATGTTCTTCCAGGATTGGCCGCGATCGTTCCTATTACAAGGGGATAATGGACCGGGTTAATGGCATCCTTCTGCCAGGCGGAGCGGTGTACTTTGACGAAGCCGAGATGAAGTCCAATCCGAATCTAACCAACGACTGTGTCAGAAGTTCAGAGCACATTTACCAACTGGCCATGGAGCGAAATAAGCAGGCGAAGAAGGAAAACGATGCCGGTGGATACTTCCCTCTTTGGGGCACTTGCCTGGGCTTTCAGTTTCTGCTAATACATGCTGCCGAAACGCCCGAGATTCGCACCGATTGTCAACGCATCCAACAGGCAATGCCATTGAAACTGACCGAGGGCTACCTTAAGTCGCAGCTCCTGCAGAATTTGTCCACGCAAGCGGCAGAGCAAATGGAACGCGTACCCTTTGCCTCACACCATCATCAGTACTGTGTCACCGAAGAGTGCCTGGAGTCCTTTGGCCTGGCCAACGACTGGCATACCTTGGGCACCCAGAAGGATGCTTCTGGAGCGGAGTTCATTTCCCTTATCGAGCACCGGCACTTTCCCATCTTCGGCAGCCAATTTCATCCTGAACGGGCTGCCTTTGAGCAGCTGTTCGCTGGACAGGATCTATGCCACGAGTCGCACACTCCCGTTGGGATCGAGCTGGCCCAGCTTATAGGCACACGATTTGTTGAGGTCTGTCGCCGGAACAAGAATCGATTCGCCAGTCCCGATGAAAAGGCGCGGCATCTCATCAACAACTGGCAGCCAGTGTTTTCGGGGGTCTACAAGAAATCAAAGTGGCTGCAGTGTTATCTGTTCAAGAAGGACGAGGATTACCCGGAGATACTAGTGCGAACTACTGCGAGCGATAAGAAGGAAACCTGAACTTCATTTAGACTAATGTAGGTAACGTGGACTGTTAATAATAATAATAAACAAAGGCAACAATTAAGTATAAAGCATTTTAGTTTAAAGTATTCCTATATAATATAGTATAATAATATTCTTTCTGCTTCTTAAAGAATTGTATAAATATACTTAATTGATTAAATATGCTTTTTGAAATATATTCCAAGAATAAAACTCCCTAATTTGTAAGTAATTCACTTGAAATTGTTCCGTGTTTTTGCCTTACTTTTCTGAATGAAAGCTCTTACTTGTTGATTTCTAACTGTTTTTTTTTGGCCGCTACCTTTTCTGGAATTTTCCCTCTCATATTTTCCTTTTCCATTCACTCTTTCACCCATTCAGCCAGTTCTTAGGAGTTGTTGGAAGTACTTTTCCATATTTGTCTCATGCAAATTTCACGCTGTACTTTTCCGTTCAATTTTTGGTGCACGCTTTCCGCTTGTGTTTTTCATGGATTTTTCAGTGGGGGAAAGCTATTTTCTGTTTGCCTCCTGTTTTCCCTTAAGCAAATGGAATATTTTTGTTCATTTTTATGAGTCTTCCTTTGCCAGGGGGTTTGTTTTTCTTTTTTTTTTTTTTTGGGGATATAAGTGAAATGGAAATTAAACCTTCATCATAGCTATAGAAGTCACATAAAATATATCATTAGCAAAAGAGGCTGAAAGAAGGTGTTATTTGTATGTGATATGTTTTATTAGGAATTTAGTTGTAAGCCTAAAATTATACTTTAGTGCTAGGTGTTTGATTAAATAATAATTTTGTTAAGTTTCCTTATTTTTAATTAAATATTTGTGTTATAAATCTCTTCCTGCTACAGTCTTCGGTATCTCTTTCAAAACATAAGTTCTAAAATATTTATCATTTTTATATATTGTTTTCCCTAGTTAAATATTTATTCTTAATATTTTTATTAGGGTATTTACTGTTTCAAACAGATATTTTTCTTTTCTATTCATGGAGCGAGTGTTTGTGCTTCAGTTTTTGTGTGCTGGCAGGCCCATTTTCATCTTCGCGCTCCTACTTTCAAAAATTTCCACTCGGGGGGCTCGTCAAAAGGTTGACTGCTCATAATTAGCGCATGACAGAACGGAATTTTTTCCTGCCGGCTTATGGTTATTTGTAAATTCCTTCGCATATTCCATTAGGCGGTCACTGGCGCTCGGTTATTTATTAAGGCTCGTTTTGCCGGTTTCCCTCGACTTTCCTTTTTCTGGCATGGGGTTAAAGTTCAGTCTGATGTGCTTGTTATGGCACCTGCTTGTTGTCTGATTCCCATTATTGTATGTGCGGCTTCGAGGTGCTGCCAGTCGCATTGTTATGTCCTGGTATCTCTGCGTCTGGGTCTCCGGCTTTTCCGCACTGTTGTCTGGCTTCCTTTTTGCCACCTTAAATTATTTTCCCAGTCCCGTCATTGTTACTAGATTTCCCTTTTCTTGTTGGTGTTTCGATCTGGAATCGCATGCTAATGGGACTAGACAAATGTCTAGTCTGGCTTGACTTGTTAATCATTGTTATTAAGGACTGAGCACGTTTTGGTAGGGTGATTACATATTGTTTTGTAGTTTTACTTGATTTTGTATGTATTTGTATTTGTACTTATTTCTTGGAAATGTATTTGACATTATAATACAAATTAAGAAAGTATTATAAAAATGATATATATTAAAGTAAATTCATTGAATTTTAAAGAAAACTTTGTTATATTTTAGGTCCTTTAATTATTGATATCCCTGAAGGATCATATAATTTAACTATGAAGTTTATAACGCAATAAGAGGGGTCATTCCCTACCTTGTAAATCATATAAATCCTTAATCAGCATCAACAAGTTGATATTTCTTTAAGGAATTGAATTATTTAAGTTTATAAAAATTAAAAATAAATTACAATATAAAACAAATTGGATGTTGAAAGGGTATACAAACTCTGGCTTCCCGAAGTTTGTTTTGTTTCATGCATTTTTTATTTAACCACTCCAACTGATGGAAATTCCCCTTTGAAGTGCCAACGAATAACGGCATTGCTTAACATATTTCTGCAGTTTTATTTTCTCTCTAGTTTTTCTTCGTTCGCCTTGAGAGGGAAACCCCTTTTTTTAAGCTATTAATATTTATTAAGTGCTGGCGACACGTGCTGTCATTGATTAACATATTTGCTTATTATATGGTTTTGTATTCGCATTTCTTTTGTTTCGGTTTATGTGCACTCTCGTTATTGTGATCCTGGCTGGAAAAAGAAAATTGTCAGCACAAAATGCCGCATTAAATGCCCTTGTGCCCATTTTATAGACTCACTGGCGTAGATGAGTGTATTCACACTTGCAGAGACACACACAAACACACATACGCAGTGGGTGGAAGGGGTTGCGAAAATTGGGGTAGTCCGGGCCAAAGTCTAAAAGTAAAAGTTGGCATATTTCTGTTTTCTCAACTGAAAATTAAGCCGCCTTTACACACGCACACACAGATGCAGGTTGGTCCTTTTTCCCCCCACTTCCCCCATTTTACTCGGCGTGTGTTTGTGTGTATTTGTGCGGCTTTCACAATGACGTCATAGCTGTGGACCGGCCTTTTGCCTTTTATAACCTACTTGCCGAGCGTTGAACCGGCCCAGCATGGCCTCTCTTTACTCGCAAACCTTTCTCCCTGAGATTTCTCTCTTACTACCACAAGTTTATCTCACTCTCTCTGAGCGCAACTGCAGGCTGCAGCTCGGCGTTTTGGGCCAATGAACTCGTCCTGCAAGGACATTGCAGTCGCCGTCGAGTGACATTATGAAAGCAGCAGCAACAACAAAAGCGAAAGCTACGCAAAATAGCAGGCAAATTCTGCAGAAGCCAAAGGTCCTTTGGACAGCCCCACCCAGCACCCCACTAGACGAGCAATTTACGCTGATTTGGCATTTAAACTGCAGTTGAAGGATACACACCCAGTTTCCATATCATGTCGCTGTCGCTGCCGGCCTGTGCGTGTGCGTAGCTGAGGGTGTGTGAGCCTGACTTTGGTCCTAAATCCCCTTAACTGACCCGACAAATGGCCACGACTTGAGTGTCGCTTAATTGATGCAGGATTCTGCCTAGATTCCGTCCTGAATACTCGCATTTGTTGTGCTGTTTTTCTGTATCCTGTAATTTGACATGGAATGTTGGCTTTAATTTAAATTTTAGGAAACTGAGGGGCTTCCATGGAATTCTAATCAAAATTGCATTTATGTATATCGTTTTAGTTTGTAGTTTACATTTTAACTTATTTAATGTGGTATGCAAATGTCACAAAAAACCTTTTTGCTATCGTCTGGTATATGAAATTAGTTATTTGTTAAAATTGTACTGAAAAATTACGAAATTGCGATCAAATCCCAGTGAAATTGATTCGCCTTTCCCTTTTTGTGTATCAGGCGAACAGAACGCAGTAGGTCAACGATGCTGACGTCATTGGTATTGTGGATTGTGGAAGAGATCTTTGTAGAACTATGTATACATGGCTCTTTCAGAGAGAGCATTACTCGCTATTATATCATTCACTCATTTGCTAGAAAGAAATGGCAAATATCTTTCCCAAAGAAAAAAGATCTCAAAGATCTTTTAACTTATCAAATGATGATACTATATCTTAATCTTATATCTCTTAACTTATTTTTCTTATAAACTCATGTTTAATATAAACCCATTTGCTCTAAATAAAAATAATGTCTGTTAGGATGTGCAATCCCAATTTTCCCTTTACTTATCAGATTCAACGCTTGACCTTTAAGAGTTTTCTGTAATAACCTTTTATGCAGCTTCATTCTTTCTCTTTTTAATTTCAAGTTTCGTCCATAACACTTAAAGTTCATATCTTTTGCCGGCTGCAGCACTTGACTATCCTGCCAAACCGCCCCATTCCCATTCTGCGAAAGCCCTAACAATTAAAATTCCCATTCCCGGCAGCTCATTTGTCAAGCCATGTTTTTGTTGGCCTCTGACTTTCGACAGAGCCATAAACATTTGTCGTTCACTTTGGCCCATTTTCGTTGCCTACTTTCGAGGGGCGACTGAGTGGTTGGATGGGTGGGTGACTGAGGAGAGGGTGGCCTGGTCTAATGGGGCGCGTGTGGTGCGGTAAGCCTCTTAAATGCTATAGGCCCGATGCTATTGCCGCCGATTTTAGTATTTTATTTTTACATTTCTCCGGCAATTATGGGCTGTCGCCTCTTTTGGGCGCGTTTGGCTAAATTTAACCTGAAAGGCGGGGCGTGACATTCAGCAAAAGCCACCGAATCGGCTCTATATATACACAGACTCACATATACTGTGTGTGCTTATGACGTCATCCGCGCTCTTGCAACGTTCGAAGGCCAATCGACAGCGCGGGCCAAACACAAAAGCTTCATTATTTGCAAACACACACGAGTATTTGGGTTAAGCCGCGTCCCATGTGCCGCATCCCTTGAAAGGATTACACCCAGCAAGGATGCGGACTCATCCGCATCTCATCATCATCAGTCATCTTATCTCTAACCATCAGTTTTAGTGGGTCAAGTGTCCCTTTCGGATCTGGCAGCCCTTCTTCTCCTGACCTTTCTGGCTGAAGCGATCTCAAGACATCGGCCAGAGGCCAGAGATGCATCCTTGCCTGGCCTGGCACAATGCAAATTGTGGCAATTGTTTTTTGGGGGCTAGGCGCGAGAGCGAGTCTCAAGGTCGGTGCATTCAAATTAGCTGCAGTTTATTTACGTCTCGGCATCTGCGGGCATCCGTTTTAGCCCGCTTTCTATGCAGGCCGCGACGCGCCAGGGTGACGCCTCTGGTTGCGCTTCGCCTTTTGGTTTATTAATAAGTGCGGCGGGTCCGGTGACTGCTCAGCTGAACACGAATCCTTCGAGGGACGGCAGTTGCAGTGGGGGGCGTGACTTGCATATAAATAAAACAAGTGAAAAGGTGACCAGCAGCTGCCGGTGGCCTCATTCACAACTCATTCAATTATGCGGCAAAACTGGAGAGGGCACCTCTGAATGATCACAAGGGCACTGTAAGAAATAAATGCCACGAATGTTTAATACAAAATAGATAACAGATCCTTCAGGGAATGATTATAGTTATTGTGTATACTTTATATTTATATATTAAAAAATACAATAAAGTTTCTTAACCCAACAGTTTTTCATGATAGAATTAAATTTTCCTTACTTCTAGGAGCAGGTCCCATAAAGTGT